TAGATGTAACGACGAAGTTACTTCCAAGTCGGCGTACGAACGAATAATCCTGTCTTTGAGTAAAATCCTTCGTTCCTGCCCGCTCGAGGCTTACGCGCTCAAGCGGCGAACTTTAGTACTACTAGATAACAGCTGTTCGCAAATTCACTTGTTGAGCTGGTCTAGTTTCGTCTGTCGTCTGTCAACAAATAAACACCAGTTTGGGGTTATGTCGTTGGCGGCGTTAAATATCTGTAAAATCGGCCGGTTTAACTTTATTATGTGAAACGAAGTGCTATTATGAATGAATATGTAGTTGTGGATGTGTTTGTGTACTTCACTGTGAATAAAAATAGGCCTACGTTCTTTGGCCCATAGCCCAAGCTATGGCCAACACATAGGCCTCGGAGTAGGCTATTGTGGTTAAAAATCGGGTAAGTTCTGGTGTTCATTTATTCGTAGTACAGTTGAACCTCTATAAGACGAATTTCAAGGGGTACGGGAAAAATTCTTACTATAGAGGTATTCTTAATAAAGAGGGTCGTTTTATCGAGGTTTAATCCTGCTGTTATTCTTCTTATAGAGGTTTCTCGTCGCTCCAAGTTTTCTCCAAACAATGACTGAGGAAAGAGGAGGGATGGGTGGGGGTTTCATGTTGAGACAAGCTTCTGTTTGTTTTTAAAACTACGTACTATGGAGGTTAAGATTATGATAAATTCGTCTTATAGAGGTCACGTTCGTCTTGTAGAGGTTTTGTGCTAAGAATATTCGTTGTATAGAGGTTAATCAGTCCTAGCCCATGTCACAAACAAATTCGTCTTATGGAGGCTTTTAACTTAATTACAACGTTGTATAGAGGTGTTTTTAGCATTAACCTATATGAAAGTGTCAAGGGGATTTAAAAAAATTCGTCTTATCGAGGAATTCGTTTTATCGAGGTTCGTAGAAACGAGGTTCAACTGTACGTTTTTACCCCCCTTAAAATTTGGTACCTTACACTTGCAAATGCGCCAAAAATAGGCGGACATTAAGGCCTAAACTATGGACACTCGGAGGGTTAATCAACCCAGATGAGAATAATATATATCCTACCATTCGAAAGATCAAATTCTGAACTTTCATTTTATTACATAAACAAACCCTGTAGCAGATATATAACAATGTCACGACGATTAGAAATCAAATGAATTTTTGGCGCGGCACGACTTTTGCAGCCGACACTTGGGAACTGGCAAAACGCGTCTTGTTTGGCATTACCCTGCTCGGGTAATTTTCGTCGTGGGATGTTGCGGGTGGTACCACTGAATAGCCATTGGTTTTATCTTCATTGTGGTAGTAATATTTAGAACGAAATATTGATTGCACAACTGGTACGATTTTATGAAAACAGCTGTTTTTGAAATTTTTAACAAATGGCCAATGGTCGTCAGGTGACGATGTGGAAAATACGAATTACATACAGTGTAATTTATTATTACTAGTCATTTAGTACCTATGTCATTTTGAAGAGGAAGAAATATAGATTCAGAGAGTGGCAGCCCTGTACTCAGGGCTATTTCTGTATGCTCTCATGTAGACGACGGAAGTGAGTCATTACTGCTACAGTCTGTCAGCTGTCTTGTATTCGCCATTGTTTGTTTGTGTTGTTGCCGGTAATAGTGTTCGTTCTCGTGTTATCCGCGATTTATTACTAAATACGTTATTAGTTCGTAGTGTTAGTGAAGTTTGTGTGTGTGTATAACAGTAATCTTCATGCATAAATATTACTGAATTGTGTGAAATAAGGTTGTATTTTGTTAGCATCATGTCCTAAAATGACGATTCTGACATTCAGAGATTGTTGTACGAGACGGACATTAGCTCGCCATGCTATATTTAATTGTAGTGATTTCAATCAATTAGGCATACTTTTAAAACTCGCCAATCTTAAATTCACTTAGTATAAACATTCCATATTGTATAACCTGATGCGATGAAAAAAAGGTTAAAAAAATATTTAAAAGGTGAGAGGCAAAACAACATTCAAAACACATTTCTAGCTTCGTTTTAAATGTAGCCTAATTCACGGGAAATTACTTTTTGGAAATTCAAACCTGGTCTTAAAACCTTTTGATTAGTGGGGTTTTAGTATTCAAAATAATTGTAACATAGAATTTCACTCGTTTTCGTAACTGTAGTATATGTGAATGGTACAGTGTAAAGTTTGCTTCAAATTTACCTACACAATATTGTAAACAACTCATTAATTTGTCACGTCCATAAAAATGGTGCAACAAACCACCAGCTCACTCAGAACCCACAATTCTGTGCATCTCCCAACTCCCAAGTGCTTTGTAATGCAATGAACCAAAATTTTGTGAATGTTAAAACTTAAAAGCTTTGAGTTACTTTTAAATTATACAGGGTGAGTATTAAATGAGTTCCCCCCCCCCCTACTTTTTTCTACATTTCTTAAGACATCAACTCCGGACCACGTCAGATCATTGTAGAGTAGTAAGTAGGCTACTTCATTTTGACTGGGTATAATTTTTTGGCCGCCATCTTGGATCCGCCATATTGGATACAAAGTTTTTTTTTCAAATGTAAAGGTAGGGTTGTGACCCATCGTTTCAAACTACATTTTTATGCTGAATACGATGCTGCAATCCGTTTAAAAAAATCTTGATCCATTCTAAAGTTATGAGAACTTTTTATAACATTATTTTTAGCCCATTTTAACATTGAGCATTTAGAAACTAAGAACATAATCGCAAAATAGTGCTAGAAAAAGATTTATGTATATTATGTGGTGTATACTTATCTTTATCTAGCACTATTTTGCGATTATGTTCTTCCAGTCACGCAGGGGGCAGTTTTCCAGTCACGGACACTTAAGTTTCGTTGTCATACTGTTCTAAACTAACCTAACCTAACCAACCAAACAATTCTGTATGTCATTCTCCACATGCGTTTTCTATTATCAATTGGAATTACTCGAATTAAAATTAAAATTACATAGCATCACATTTTGCCAGGGAAGTAGTATTCCAGTCGTAGACACGGCTACCATATTGGTTAGTAGGCAGATTTTGTGAATCCACATTTCAACTAGGGGGTGGTTTTCCAGGGGGTAGTATTCCCCATCCCCAGGCCTACAAGTACTAACTGCTCTGTATCCGTCAAATGTTCCATTGGGAGAGTGATGCAAGCGGTCACCTTCGCGGTCACTCTCCAGCCACTCACAATTCTTCGTCTTATGGGTGGTATTTAATTTTAAACTGAAATCTACAAAAAAAAAAAAAAAAAAAAAAAACAGGTAACCAAACAACAGAAAAAAACACTACAGAGAAAAAAACAAAAAACTATACACATTGTTAAATAAATCTTGCTAATACAAAAAAAAAAAAAAAAAAAAAAAAAAAACAGAGTTAACCAAACAACAGAATAAAACACTAGGCCTACAGAGAAAAAACAAAAAAAAACTATACACATTGTTAAATAAATCTTGCTAGGAAATACTTTACAGTAATTACTAAACCAAGGGAGATATTAAAATACAAAATTAATTCCGGCTTTGCTCTAGAAGTAATAAGTCCTGCAGTCTGTGATAAACCCTATGAACTATTTCTAAAGGGGTAGCGGATTTTTATCCCCCTGGAATTTTACCCCCTGGGCAAACGTGACGTCTCAAACCAGGGGGTAAAATTCCGGCCGCGAACTTTTGAGTTTCGCGACATCAGCTCGATGGATTAAACGCGGAATTGAACATATATTTTCACGGTTGTGAATTTAATCAGAACACATCAAATTATCAAAACCTAAAATGTACGGCCCGGATTTTTACCCCCCGGAATTTTACCCCCTAGTCAGATGTATAAATTAGTGAGAATGATTAATTATCTTCATTAAGTTTTAATTTAATAGTAAACATTTTATTATTAAGTAGCCTCTTAATTTATTTGTAACATTAACAAATCGAACATGTTAATAATTTTAATTTTGAGATTCGAGTATCAGGATTCGATCTTGCTGGACTGTTGGTTAATACGATCAAAATAAAACAGCGAATTCTGTTTACTTAGTTGAGATTACAAAATAAATAAATAAAGATAGGCTACTAAATAATGAACTGTTTACAATTAATTAAAAACAGAAAACAGGAAATCAATCATTCCATTTCAAAAATCGGCCAGGGGGTAAAATTCTGGGGGGTAAAAATCCGGGGGTAAAATTCCGGGGGGTAAAATTCCGGGGGTAAAATTCCGGTTTATATCGCTAATCTAATTAATACCGCTCTGACTACTTTCATTAGACTTCTAAATCCGCGGGGGTAAAATTCCGGCCGCGAACAAACTTTTGGCCACTCAGGTTACTACGTCATAGTGACTTCAGCTTTGCCCAGGGGGTAAAATTCCAGGGGGATAAAATTCCGGCGACCCTTTCTAAACCATAAACATATGTTTAGTTGTAAACAAAGTAAATTGAGTTTGATCCAATGATGACTGATAGCGCAACTGTTACGTAACTTAAAGCCCTTAACTGTTCTTAAGCGATGCCCTTTAATAATATTATGAGACGTATTTCCACATCTATGAAAAATAGGCCTACCTTTAATTTGAGACATCAAACATTAAAATCTGTCCAGCCGTTATGACTGTGAAAAAAAAACTGCGTATTAATATAGACTAGGTGAAACCCATTGAAAGAAATCAACGGTTGCTGTAAAGGCTTACAACAATTCTTCTAACTGCAATAAAATGAGTGAAATTATGAAACTACAATTTTTCCACTGAAAGTCTTTTACTAAACCGTGTTTTGTGTTATTCTGTAACTTTTCTATCAAGATGAAAAAAAGGAAACAAGTGTAGTTTATTTAATTTTTAATGCAAGTTCGACTTAGAAATGATGATTTTATAATTCCAAAAGCACCAGCACTTAATTTTATTATGTTTTTAGGGATTTTGAGTTATCCGACCTTAGCTTGGTCTCATTGGGGTCAGTTAAGTGTGGGTCTTCTGTAAACAATTGTGTTATTTTTTCAGCTATGGCAGATCGAGCGGCAGCCCGAGGGGGGCGTGCCCGAGGACGGGCAAAGACTCCAACTCAACAGGCTCCACTGGCACCTCAACCAGCCCATGCTGGCCCTCCCCCAGGGATGGCCCCCAGACCAGCACAAGTAAGATACTGCAGCCAAACTCCAAATCATTCTAAATGTTATTAGAGTTTTGTTTCACTTGAATATCAAATAAACTTTTTGTGTGGTATTTTAATTACTAGAACTATGAGGTTGTGGTTTGTTTGTTTGAAAATACACTATTTAAAAAAAACTTAAGAGGCAAGCTTTTCAATTTTTTTTTTAATAAAATAAATTATAACATAATAGGCCTAATTTATGCATATAAATTTATTACATTAAATATTATAAGTATTATGAATTATGAATATTTTTAAATATTGAGTAAACGGTTTAAAAAAAATTTGTCAATAGGCCTTTAACAATTTAAACTAAATGTTGCGGAAAAATTGCTTTTACTCAAACAAGAACGAGCATGATTGAACTGACTGAACTGATCGACATGTTCGTTTGCCCAGTAATTGGGTGCGAAGAAGTATATGGGACTGTTCATAAATGCATGACTTAGCGTTGTGGTTGGTTGGTTGGTTAATTACTTACCCAGCTGCCGTCGAGGGATGCCAGGTGCCCTCTCCATGAAGTCCGGTAGCCGGTGTCGGGTAAACAAGCCGGCTGGAGTAGTAGGGGTAGCGGCCCAATGGGACTGTTCACATAGAACCGGTGAACAGCATACGTTGTGTGCTTCTAGTTCAGTTGTTTTGTGTTTGACTTTAGGTTATTTGTGCACAAGTTTTGATCATGTTGCAAAAAGTCACTGAAAAGAATATAAAAAACCGTCAACTCCATTTTTTTTTACACTTAAAAGGTTGACCCAATGCACTCGATTCTTCCATCTTCTTCTTTTCAACCGTCTATACAAAAGTAGCATTGCAGTTGATCTATTGCGTTCCATTTCTATCCCTATAACAAAATGACACAAGTTTCACAATCTGGAGTACAACTGAATACACCTAAAAATATACTACGGTATTAGTTTCCTTGTAGCAGCAAACCTTTGCTATTTAAATAGATTTAATTGAAAATCAATTCAGACAAACAGAAATCCTTTTGGTAGGCCAGTTTGCTGCGGCGGGGGCATGAACCATCCTTGTACATACTCAATGCTTGAAGTAATCTTCTGGTCAGTAGATCATGTTGAATACATTTTTAACAGTTACATTACATGTATACATTGCAGGGACCTTCTGCATCCGGAAGGGCAACCCACCGGGGTGCAGGAAGACCAGCAGAGGATCCTAACCTAGTTCAACGTCTAGGGCAAATGGCCCTAGCTGAGGGAGGGAATGGTAACGGCGGTAACGGAAACGGTAAGTTTAACAGTTATACTTTGAATACTTAAATCTGAATTGGGGACCATATAAAGAAAGGTATATTCTAGGGATGGACGAGATTGGATTTTTAGTTCGAGACGAGACGAGACGAGATTTTTTATTTCTCATAAAATTTCGAGACGGGATTTCCCTTCTCATAAACAACGGGAAATGCATGTTCGGAATTTTTACCTGATTTTGTAACATTGTTAGATGACTGTTTAAATACAAAAATAATGATAATAGGCAAGAATATTTACAATCTTTTATTAAAAAACATCAGCATAACATTTTTTTATTAATCACACCTATTTTATTAAAAAGAATCATATTGTTGATTGGGGTTCGTCTGCAATTCTATTCAAGGAGTCTGATTGGAGGAAACGAAATACGGCAGAGTCGCTTTTCATGGCAATAGAAGACGAGCCACTCTCACGACCATCGGTGGATGTCAGTACGGTGTACTTAAACATTGTTAAAAACGAACTAGAACAATTACGAGATAAGGCCAGGAGCGTGAATGGCTTATCAACAATGGACAATGCACCTACCCCCGCCTCCGCCCGTCGTCCTCCAAGCTGATCCGGCAGTCGTGGTTAGGCGTTCGACCCGCGTGCGGGCTAAAAATAGTTTATTTCTACCCTGAAGAAGCGGAACGTTTTTTTGAGTTCCGCGAAACGTCGGACCTTGATGCCGTGGACGATTTTGTGTTGTATACATGTGTGTTTATGTGTGTTTTGACGAGTCCCGGACATCACAGACAAAAATAAAGATGAGTGAAGCCCACAAAAATCTACGTGAATAATAACACCTCGCCTAAAAGCATGTCGTTCAAAGCTTAAATCATTCAAAAACTCCGAAACTATCACAATATCTATCTCTATTGATTCAAAACCTAATGCATTCAGATTCAAGCACTCATATTATTTTGTAGTTCTCTAAATCATACCAATCAATCCCTCTAAGTACTTATGTAATTCCTTTATATTTTAATAAAATAAGAGGTGTGCGGATAGTGAAATTTCATTTTGGATCGGATTCGGATCGGATAGTTGAGGCTCGGTTCGGATCGGATCGGATATTTTCGGATTCGGATAGTTCGGCGCGGTTGATAATAAGCTTCATATGTATTTTTAATCTATAAAACAATGTAAAGCTGTGTAAATAAACTTAAATGACGACTTTGAACTATAGAATTTCAAATTAGCCTAGTCCACAGTTTTCTCTCTCTTGAAAATCACAATTCACAAGATTTATTTTCAAAAGTTGGTTGCTTGAATTAAGTACACTAGCAGCCGAAATCTTCACACAACACCTTAGCTCAGCAGGACTGATGTCAAACGTTTGGGCTTGTTTACTTGAGGTTATGTTTTATCTTGTTTCCTGGTTCTCACAAGCAAAGGAGTTCGATCTCAAGTTTATTTTCACATTGTATTTCCTTACGTTTTTGGAACGGATTATTGGCCTTAAGTGGCATTTTGCGGGTTTGCCAAGTTTAGAAAACATCACTAATGCACTAAGATGGGCTCTAGCTAGGCCTACTTAAAAAAACTCCAGGGAGTAATCCAAACCTCCCGGCATCCAAAGCCCGGTCATGGAAAACTTCGATTAACTAAAAGGCCAGTCACGGATGTTGCCTTAAGTCACAAAAGACGATTACCAGTGTCATAGCAACTGCGGGAGATGATTACCCGTGTCGCCCAGTCTGCAAAATATGTTAACAGGTATTGTCACAATCGCTGAAAATTATAAAATCTTTAAAAAAATTTACTAAATATAAAAGTGGCGTAATTAAGGTCAATCTAGGGTTCTAGTATTCTTAATATGATTCTTGATTCTTAATATTCAGGAATTTGTCTTGAAATCTCTTGAAATACTCCTACATTCACTTATTATGTTGTTTAACTTAACCAAATATTGTTATTTTGTTGTTACAGGCAATGGAGCCCCCCCAGTTGGAAGGGGCAACATGCGAGGAAAGCGCCAAATTTTCACTAATAATGTTGTGACACGACCTGAAAATCTGACTTCCAAAAAAGGTAGATATACAACTTAAATCTGCTTAACTTGAGCAATTATGAGGTTGAGTAAAGAGCCATTGTGAAGTTCTTGTCTAGTTTCAGAACTGCTGTTGTAAACAGTTCAAATATTGCTCGGGTAAATACAATTTAGGCCAAGTAAATTACCCTCATAAGCACGCTTTGCCCCTATGTATTTACTAAGTGGTAAGATAAGCAAGTACAGAAAATTGGGCAAGTAGCTGTCTTCAAAAAGGCTACTTGACTCATCAATGAGTTTGTACTGAGTGTAAAAGTACAATACATGCTTGACTTGAAAAACAAAGTGTATGGAGCTGTTTCTGAGTCAGCTTGTTTGCTAGATTCCAAAAACATGTGTTTCTTGGGTATTGAATGTCCTGTAAGTAAAAGGGCTTATTTAGAGTTCAGCTTACTTAGTAATTTTACTTAATTAGGTTAATGCAACCCTTTTCAAAACAACACCTTGCTTAAAACAAGTTTATCGTTTAACATGTGAGGTCATATTTTTTTATTTGGGGAAATGAAATTAGGTTTTTAAAATTTGTAGATGGTATGATATTTTTCTGTACCTGGTTCCCTTGTGATAAATCAAAGTTTTGTCTGGTTTTAGGAACTAGTGGACAGCCTGTCAGATTGCAGGCCAACTACTTCAGTTTGGTTAACAAACCAGACTGGTGCCTCTACCAGTACCGTGTGGATTTTAAGCCAGAAATCGATGCCTCATTTGAACGCAAGAAATTATTGAGGGTACAAAACCAGAACATCGGAGGACAGTATATATTCGACGGTACTGTCATGTACGCTAGTCATAGGATTGGCAATTTGATTAAAGTCGGAGATGTAAGTATTGCTTTCTCTGTATGTTTTATAAACTTGTATACATTTTCTAATAATAATATCAAGGTGGTTTCAAAGTCAAACTCTAGAGATTTATTTTGTATAATTAATTATGTCTGGTTAACACGTTGCCTGCTGACTACATCAATTGTCAATTGATGTGGTCGGGCCACAAGCGCTCCTATCGGTCTATGTTAATTGATTTAGTTGTGCCAGCCATCCCAGCACACTTATTATCGTCAGCTCAGCCATTGCCGGGGAACGTTATAATTGTTGCTAGTCTGTAGCTTAGAATGTGAGATTTTGGTACTAAAATTTTCTTTAAAATCTTGTATGACAATGCTTTTGTCCCACTTATGGGGATATTCTCTCTTCAAGCCACATTACATAGATTACAAAGATCTGGGACTTCAGATCCAGTCAGTGCCACTACTTTTGGGTGTTTCAGTGAACTACGTCCTTCTTGGGGTAACCTAGTACAATCACCGCTGCTCTTTTGTTATTCGTGAGATTGAAGTATTTGAATGCGAATTCATTGCTGTTTCGGTGCCGGGCCTCCTTGCCATTATCGAGAGCCTGTTTGAATATGCTGCACTCTACATGTTAAAAAGAAATTAGTAACAGTATATTTTGGAATTACCGATTCTTGGACCTTGATAATGACTACTGAGAACCAATTTTACAATACTATCAGCAGCAACAAACCAGCTGGACCCATGAGTTGGAAGTAAATAATTAGTGATAATTTTGATGGTGAAATGTGTATAACAACTTTTGTAAGGGAGCTGTTTTAAGTTGTGACATTCTTAAAAAATGTTCTCTTAGATCAATTTTTAAAATAATCTAGTTTTAATAATAATGCTTAAAATGTAGAATTTGTATTTTTTTATGGAACAGAGACCTTATGGCATTGTACCTTTTGTACGGAGCCCAAAGCTGTATGTCTTCAATCTTTTGTCGGCAGGAGGTGGAGTTTTTCTCAGAACGAGAGAGTGATGGTTCTCAAGTGCAAATCGTAATAAGACTAGTTGGTGACTTGGTCAGTGGTGACAGTCACTATTTGCAGTTCTTTAACATACTGACAAGGAAGTGCTTAAAACTTCTAGATCTTCAGCTCATTCAGCGTGACTACTATGACCCCAAAGCCAAGGTTTGTTGCATTGTTCAAGAAATGTTCTGGTTTGTATCATATACAGTTTGTAATCTTTTATATAAAAGCTCACCACAATGTGATACCTACATTGTCATTCTTCTACGTCTTGTCTTATTTTAATAAATTACAAAGGAATTTTGACTATCCCGGGTAATGGGGGGGGAGGGGGGGGAGACAATGGATAATTGAAAATCAGGGTTAATCCAACATGCGGTAATTATGTATCACAAATTGTTAAAAACATCTAAATCTATATTAATGGCCATTAATGTGACGATTAATTTGTCCTGTTATATTAAGGTCCCTCTTTATATTGAGGAAGAACCTAGATATAAATAGTGACCATTTACCAGCTTGGGGATTACTTTTGTAATTATTTGTTTAAGCGTTATATGTACAATAAAGCTTTTTCTCTTCTTCTCGTATGTTTGCTATGGTGTTATATACATATCTCAAGAAAAAGCATGAAAAACTAAAAATTGCATTTATTTCGTTTTCAGGTTGATATACCAGAGTATTATCTTGAGCTGTGGCCGGGTTACAAGACCACTATAAGGCAGCATGAACGAGAGGTTTTGATGTGCGCAGAAATCACTCACAAGGTTATGAGAACTGATACATGCATGGACCTGCTGAGCTCCATCGCACGAGAAAATCCTCGGGATTTCAAAGTAAGTACATGTCTTTTATACAGTGTCCCTGATAAAAATATCACTATTCTGTTTACAGAAAGTTATTTTATGTTTTTCAATATAATTAAACAATCTATTTGTATAAATTAATGCCAGGTTTTTCTAAAAGTAGTTTCTTTTAGCAAATTTCCCTATAGGGAAGTAGCTTTTACCGTAGGTCTCATGGTAAGACCTAAGCCCGGGACCGATTTACTTTTTCATTTTGATGTCCCCAGAGGCCAAAAACACCATTCGTTCAAATTTTTATATATCTATATATATATAGATAGATATATATATATATATGTGTGTGTGTCCATCCGCACGATAACTTGAGTAATTTTTGTCCGATTTTGATAAAATTTGGTTTGAAGGTGTAAGGCGGGATAAACTTGAATGAGTTCGCGAACCAGCATGATCGGACTATGGGAACAGGGGTTTATGGGGGGTTTTATGGGGTAAAAATAGGTTTTTCCCATTTTTGACCCTAAAAACACAAAATTTCTCAATTTCTTTTTAAACCATTTTGTAGAGCTAAAAAAAACAAATAATTTAGTATATTGAAGCGTTATCATGCGCCTAATTGTTACGGAGAAAATTCAAAAAAATTGTAATTTTAAAATTCCCATGTTATTCTTTTGGAGCATAAGTCAACTGTTGTAGTTTGCTTGTTTATGAACATATTTTGATCAAATTTGGAAAATACATTAATTTCTTACTAAACCACAGTACCTTTTAACATTTTACATAAAAAAAACTTTTTTACCCTCCCTGTTGCAGCAAACCTAAGTACTCATTAAACTAATTCTGTTTAAATAGGGAATAAATGTGATATTTTTAAGGAGACATTTTAGTTTAAATCCAATCAGGCAAATGGAAATTCGCTAAGTCTGCAGGTTTGCTGCGGCGGGGGTATTCTCGTATACAACCATTAACATTGTTATACATGATTTTGTTTCACAGCAAGCTTTGATAAAATGTAGTAGTTAGTTGCAATGCATAATAGGTTTAATTTACATTAAAAGTTTTAGTATTTTAGATTATTAGTTGCTTATTGTTCTTGTTTGTTTTCAGTCTGAGTTTACTAAAGCGGTTGTGGGTACAGTTGTCCTAACTGATTACAACAACAAGACGTATGTTATAACCGACGTGGATTGGGCACAAAGCCCTGTTTCCACTTTTGACAAAAGCGGAACTCAAGTATCCTACATGAATTACTACAAAGAAGTAAGTTATTTTTAATTTTGTAAAAAAAATATGTGTGAATCCATCTATTGTGCCATTCAGATACAAGCTTGTTTCAAGTACAGTAGACAGCTAGCTGTAGATAAGCTATATGTGTGGATAACTACTCGTAGGCTATATAACCCCACTAATAATCAATTCTAAGAAATTAATTTAAAGGGAATTGTCCGTATGATAATTCGTTTCTGAAAGTTTTAAATTTAGATTGTTAGAGAATGTTATTATTAAAACATCAATATGTAATACAAAACTGTGCCCTTAATGTGTGAGAACTTGTAACTTGATAAAACTCTGACGCAGGAATATTTTTTGCTTAATTTATCAATGTATTCAAGCCTAAGTCCGTATTTAATGCCTTTGCCAGTAGAAGACTATGTCACAGTTAGCAGGCTGAGAAAAGTGCCACCATAAGCTCGTGTGACAATAGAGTTCAAAGGTTAGATTCTACAAACTACTATAGATTAAAGTAGCTGTTTTTGCACCTTCTCCTAGGATAGGCTACTTGGTTTTAGCCCAGAACTGTTTTACACACAACTTCAGGCTAGTCCTAGAGGAGCGTGACACTATCCCATGGATAGACGCCATTAGTGATTGGCGGGATTTGAACCTGGGACTTAGGGCTCTGAAACCCTACACTCTACCACTATACCAGCTTGCTCCCCAATTTACTCCCTTTCTGTCAGGTGCACTGTAGTGGTTGTGCTTTGTTAACAAGTTTCTTGTTATTTCAGTAATTTGAATCCTCGTTTAACCAAATAAAACGATCTGATAATAAACAATAACTCACCCTCCAGTTTTATAACTAAACAGTAAAGCACACATTATTAAATTAACCCTTAAATCTGTTTACACTAGTGTTCAGTGTCACCAACATAAACTAGACACGAAAAAGAAGTTTCAAAATTTACAATGGGATAAGTAGTCTACTTGTGTTGGTTAGTCTATGGTTGTACTGACTCAGCAATAGGTTAAACACTAATATTTGTTTGGGCTGTTGATAGTCTACCTCCACTGGAACTCTCTTCTTTCTGTAACAATCATACTTTCTAAGCCTTTTTTCTGAGTACAACCATACAATACTAAAATGTCATAGTAGCCACCAGCAAATCAATTTGTTACATACATCAGTTTGTTACATACATCAATTTGTATAATAACATTTTTGAAAAAAAAAATACTTGTAATTTCTTTCAGCGTTACAATATCCAGATAAGAAGCCCACAAAACCAACCACTTCTTGTCTCCAAAAACAAGGGAAGAGACAGACGAGCCGCGGAGCTGAAGGGCGCCGGTGCTGGGGGAGACCCCTCCGTTGTGTTGCTGATACCCGAGCTGTGTCGGATGACAGGGTTAACAGACAACATGCGTTCTAACTTTCAATTAATGAAAGTAATGTCACAACATACGCGCATCGGTCCTAAGGAAAGGATTGACCGTCTTCTCGTAATGAACAGGCGGCTGAGTGGAGAGGAGCGGGTAAGAAGTCATTCCAAAATAATTTACATAATAAGACAGTGTGTTAATAATCTAAATCGCTATACAGTATGTAACTCAAGTTTTCATTCCAATACATATCAGTGAAAAAATGCACTGCTTGATTTTTAGTTTTCAATTTCCAGCTTATTAGGTATGTACCCTTGTATTCTTGAAAATAGTACAACTAAATGTTTTTTTTTCAACAAAAACTAGCCTTCTGTTTTTGTTTTATTATTTATTCAGTAGAACTATGTCCAGTCTCTGTTGTAGCTTAAATTGGGTAATTGCTTGAATTTTATGTTACAAAAGTTCTTGCTAATTCCTTACAATTTTGTTGTTGTACTATCCTAATATACTTAAAGCTAAATTTTGTGTCCTAAGATCATGTTATTTGAACTGATCTGGGATTATAATTTCAACAGTTTTGTTCAATAGTAAATTTTCCAAAAATTAAGAATTTTATGATCTAAAAATTGTACAAATTTTTTACTCATCATACCTCTTAAACATATAGTTGCTGTACTATACTGACAGTTATTTTATTATATTTTACCACAAAAATAACAAAAGTGTAAAAATTTTTGTAAAACTGAACATTTTTGTAGTTTTTACTCTTCAATAATAATGAATAATGTAAAATTATTTCAGGTTCAAAGAGAGTTTCGGGAATGGAACCTTAGACTGGCCAACCAGCTTGTAGAGATCCCAGGTCGGGTTTTGCCTGCGGAGGGAATAGTTCTGGGTAACAATATGACCGTCCCTTCTGGGGACGAGTGCGACTGGACCAGACATCTGCGGTCCAATCCCATGTTTTCAATGCCACCTGGTATGTAATACACTTGAATTACCCTCTCTTCCTGGTTGTGAGTGAGCTGTGAGTTTTGTAAACTTAAAAAAAAAACCCAGTGCTTTGTTACCGCTTGATCCGTTAAACCAGCAGTAATATAATAATTAATTTTACACTTGTGAACCTGTTGCTTCAATTCGAGCAATTACTAAGTATTACAGATTACAGGCGTTATTTTAAAACAAAAAACATTCATAATTTCTGATGACTTTAAAAGATTTGACTCAAAGATCATGGAAATGTTCAAGATTTACATAAAATATCGATATAATCAACATTTCTTATATCTTATCATTTTTCAAAAGCTGATATTGTTTTTAGTGTTTTCTACAAATAGCCTTACTCATAGCCGCATTAGGTTGTCTATAATAACGATTATAAATTCTAAAAAATAAAACATCATTATTTCTAGCTTTTCCAAGGCTCTGTCTCCTTGGTGGTGTTCTATGACTTTCCTATGTTTCCATAGTTTGCAAATCGATCGGATCTTTCAATGATTACTAAGAAATTCAGCACAGTGTTAAATCGGTTTTCATTTTCGGGCTCTCGCTTTTTCCATTGTAATATTTACGCCAACCCAAATTAAAATAGTAAATATTTTATTTCAACCAAGTCAGTAAATGATTTTATAAAACTGTTAAATTAGCAAACTTATTGATTGTTTACAACTAACATAGGCTATATTCTTCTTCTCACTTTTAATTTCTGGCAAGAGCTGGAGTTTCATAAACATTTTTGTTTCCCATGTTAATCTTATGGAGAAACACGAAACTTTAAAGGGTCCCAGGGCCTCACTCTCTAATTATTTCCCTAAAGAGAAAGTTTCCTGCACAACTTCACGTTTACGCTCTTTTCAATGACACCAAAAACATGTCAATCGGTTCAGTAGTTTAGGAGGAGTAATTGTCAAAAAAATCCTGCTTGCGTAATAAATAAGTAAGTATAGCACTAAAGTTAGACATAACGGCTCATATACTTAAAAAGAGTAGCAATAGTCATATACTAAACTGCAAATATTCAAATGCAAATTATGTGAATGGTTAATAAGCAATCCTTTCTATGGCATCCATGAACTAAAGTTTATATTTAATCTGAATGTGTATCTACATGATCCATATTCTCTAGACATATCATATTTTATTAACTAAGTATTTTATAAAGTTTGTATCTTATTTGTTATTTTGGAATGTTTTGTATGTGTTTTGACCTTGTCACTCTTTGGTAAAAAGTAGGGATGGACGGGTCCCGAAATTTCGGGAATTTTTCGGGAAAAAAATATTCCCGATTATCGGGACGGGATTACATTTGACTCGGGAATTTTTCGGGACGGGATTTGGTCCGATCGTCGGCGATTTTTCCGCTTCGCGAGTGCCGATAACGCCGTTATTGCGAGCGATAGGTCCGCGAACGCAGGAGACGAAGTCATACCGACGATCGCGCCGTGACCGCGGAGTCCTACCGACGATCGCGCCGTGACCGCGGGTCATACCGACGATCGCGCCGTGACCGCAAGTCATGACGACGATCGCGCCGTGACCGCGGAGTCATGCTGACGATCGAGCCGTGATCGCGAGTCATACCGACGATCACGCCGTGACCGCGAGTCATACCGACGATAACCCCGTGACCGCGGAGTCATACCGACGATCGCGCCGTGACCGCGAGTCATACCGACGATCGCGCTGTGACCACGAGTCATACCGACGATCGCCCCGTGACCGCGGAGTCATACCGACGATCGCGCCGTGACCGCAGAGTCCTACCGACGATCGCGCTGTGACCACGAGTCATGACTACGATCGCGTCGTGACCGCGAGTCATACCGACGATCGCGCCGTGATCGCGAGTCATGACGACAATCTCGCCGTGACCGTGAGTCATACAGACGATCACCCCGTGACCCGCGAGTCACAAGTTACTATAGGTACCTGTAAATTGTTACCCATTTTTTGGTTTTTATAGATCAGTGCCACAAATGGTAAAAATTGATTTTGTATGTCTTTTTTTGGTAACTGCAATACAGTACTTTCTTTTTATGCACAGAAAAAAATCCCGTCCCGTCCCGTCCCGAAAATCGGGAAGGAAATAAAAATCCCGTCCCGTCCCGTCCCGAACTAAAAATTCAATCCCGTCTATCCCTAGTAAAAAGAAAGGTCAATGACAATAAAACTCTTTAGTAACTCTTGAGTACGACTTCATAGTAAGGAAGATGTATCCAGATATTAATTTTTCTTCACAATGATTAACGATTGTCAAAGAAGAAAAACTTTACTGCATTGAGAAAGCCTTAATTTTCTGAGTTTTTATTCATGCTCCATATACAGGGTCAATCAGTGATGGTCAAAACCAGGAATTTCGAATCTCAAAACCGAAACCGAAACTTAAAAAATTCAATGCCGAATCTCGAATTTCGAATTTTAAAACCTAAAAGAAAAACTTTTTCACTTAGCTGGTTACAAAGGTCAAGTTTACAAAAAATACATTAATCATAAATTGTTAAGTATGCAATCAAAACTGAAAGAGATCGACTCCTGACCATGACATAAAATAAATATGTGAATGTGACTGATAATCTTAAAACCCAATACAACATAATTTGTCATAAACAACCAACAAAAAAATTAATTAGAACATTTAGTGGTCAATATTTCTTTGTGTTAAGTAAATATTTATGTGAAAGTGAATTGTACCAGTTATAGTATGATGCCTTTTGAAGTTCAGAATCAAATTAACTTGTTTCATTACTGTTAATGGTGATGTTTGCTCTGTTGCTACCAGCTTGTTTGGAAACAGTGTTAAAAACAAGAACAATGGCACAAAAAAATTTCAGCAGTTTCAAAAATAAAACTGCCAAAATCTTCAATTTCGAAACTTTTGAATCTCGAAACTTGGTGATCGAATCTATAAATCTAAACTATTCCTAAGTTTTGATGGTTTGAGATTTGGTTTTGACACATCACTAGTAAAATACCGAACATCAGTTCAGTATTCTGACCTTAAAAATAATTTATTGTCCTCATGCACACTTTTAGCTCTGTTGCTAACAAAGGTGGAAAACTAATCAAAAGAATATGCCTAAATTGGGTTGTTTATTATGAATTCTTTGAGTTTGCTTTTAAAATTTTCACTATTATTATCGGACTTTTTTGTAAACACACATAAAAAATCTATTCCCCCGAAGGTGTTGGTCTTTACTTGTAAAATGTTAATCCCTGGTGAGCTGGGGTTATTTCTTTTTTTGTCCTGTGTTAAAGTGGTGGCATCTGTGTTTTAAACTTAACCAAATCTGTCTCTTGTTCACTAATGATATCTATTCACCAATTTAAATGGCTTCTCAACGGTTCTGCCTTTTCCCAAATCCGGCCTACTGGTCTCCTGTTTAATCTGTATCATTGAGAATACCAAGCTATCAAAATTTACAACAAATCCACTCTATTAACTTCCCTGTGTAGCAGCAAACCTAAAGACTCGTTAAACCTAATGTTATTTAAATAGAGGATGAATCTGGTCACGTTTATGGACATATTTTGATAAATATCCGTTCCATGTATTTGGATATTGGATGTTGGCTTAGTTTGCAGATTTGCTGAGGTCGGGTACCTTCTAGTAATCTGGAAACGTCACTAAACATTGCCTAATTTACTTTTATTTGCCACTCAAGACCTTGTCACTGCTTATCACCCTACCTTCAATTTGTGTCTGATTGCAGGTGGTTTAAGTAGGTGGGCAATAATTTTCCCATCACGAACAGCCAATGATGCCTACGCTTTTGTTGACATACTGAAACAAGCGGCTAGAGGCATGAAATTTACGATCAGCAATCCGGACCCGTAAGTTACAAAAACGCACACTTACAATTACAGAAAACAATTCAATTGAGTATATTAGTATATGGTATAATACAAATCCATAAGTTAAAAAATATAAAAACTAGGTGGCGTTTGCAGAGGCATCCACAAAATTGAGCGGAGTCATCAAGCGTTCATATTATATTGTTTTTGTCATACTGCAGTAAAAACAGTAGTTTTTAATGCATGCGTTGCGGGTCCAAAGTAGAATTTTTACTCTTTAGGGAGTAAAAATCGTTTTTAGCCTCTATGGAGTAAAAATCGTTTTTAGCCTCTATGGAGTAAAAATCGTTTTTAGCCTCTATGGAGTAAAAATCGTTTTTAGCCTCTATGGAGTAAAAATCAGCTGTTGTCAACTCAGTTGTAAATTTCTATTGTATACGATTGCATGTATCGAAATATCTATCGATGCTTGCTTCGTAATCATTTTAACCTAAAGTCTACAGTCTCTTCCCATAGCATTTTAGCATTGCAGATACTGTAATCCATTCCCACACTCAACACTGCTCACCTTTTCTACTTCCTTCACCACCCCCTACGTCGTGGGCCTGTTTCCCTCTCTTCCCATAGCATTTTAGGATTGCAAATACATTAATGTAATTGCCAAAGACAGTTCCCACACTCTGCACTGCAAGCCTTACTACTTCCTTCGCCATTAACTACGTCATAGACCTCTTCCCTTCCCTTCTCATAGCATTTAAGTATAAGTTACATTTATCTAACTGCCCAAACGATTCCCCCACTCTGCACTGCCAGCGTTTACTACTTCCTTTACCACTTCTTACGTCGTGGGGCCTGTTTCCTTCCCTTCTCATAGCATTTTAGGATTAAAGATACATTAATGTAACTGCCACATACGGTTTTCACACTATGCTCATACTTTACTGCTTCCTAATTCACTTCCTACATCGTAGAACTGTTTTCATCACAGTCCATAGCATTTTAGTATTTTAGATACGTTAATCAAATTACAGTACCACAAACATTCCCCACACTCTGCACTGCTAGCCTTTACTACTTCCTTCACCTCTTCTTACGTCGCGGACCTGTTTCCCTCTCTTCCGATGGAATTTTAAGATTGTAGATACCTTAATCTAATCGTCATAAACAGTTCCCACGCTCTGGACAGCTCGCATTGACTACTTCCTTCACCACTTCCTACGTCTCGGACCTGTTTCCTTCCTTCCCATAGCATTTTAGGATAGTAGATACCTTAATCTAATCGTCATAAACAGTTCCCACACTCCGGACAGCTCGCCTTAACTACTTCCTTCACCAATTCCTACGTCGCGGACCTGTTTCCTTCCCTTCCAATAAAATTTTTGGATTGCAGATACCTTAATCTAATCGTCATAAACAGTTCCCACACTCCGGACAGCTCGCCTTTACTACTTCCTTCACCACTTCCTACGTCGCGGACCTGTTTTCTTCCTTCCCATAGCATTTTAGGGTTGTAGATACTTTAACCTAATAATCGTCATAAACAGTTTCCACATTACGGACAGCTCACCTTGACTACTTCCTTCACCACTTCCTACGTCGCGGACCTGTATCCTTCCCTTCCAATAAAATTTTAGGATTGCAGATACCTTAATCTAATCGTCATAAACAGTTCCCATGCTCCGGACAGCTCGCCTTGACTACTTCCTTCACCTCGTGGACCCGTTTTCCTCCCTTCCCATATAATTTTAGGAATGCAGATACCTAAATCTAATCGTCGTAAACAGTTTCCACACTCCGGACAGCTCGCCTTGACTACTTCCTTCACCACTTCCTACGTCGCGGACCTGTTTTCCTCCCTTCCCATGGCATTTTAGGAATGCAGATACCTTAATCTAATCGTCACAAACAGTTCCCTCAGTCCGGACTGCTTGCCATTACTACTTCCTTCACCACTTTCTATGTCACGGGCCTGTTTCCCTCCCTTCCCATAGCATCATAGGATTGCAAATACCTTAATCTAATGGTCATAAACAGATCCCATACCCCGAACAGCTCGCCTTGACTACTTCCTTCACCACTTCCTATGTCGCGGACCTGTTTCCTTCCCTTCCAATAGCATTTTAGGATTGCAGATACCTTAATCTAATCGTCATAAACAGTTCCCACACTCCGGACTGCTCGCCTTGACTACTTCCTTCACCACTTCCTACGTCGCGGACCTGTTTCCTTTCCTTCCAATAGCATTTTAGGATTGCAGATACCTTTATCTAATCGTCATAAAAAGTTCCCACACTCCGGACACACCTTTACTACTTCCTTAACCACTTCCTACGTAACAGATCTCAAGCTAGTGTCGTCATTTGATTATATTAATGATCCATACCGTTTATGTTCTAATATCTGTGGAATAATGCTATCAGCTATTTCTTTATCTACTGCATTCAAAAGGTAACAGCTGACCATATGTCTTTGTTTATGTGTCATATACTGCTTCCATAAGGATTACATTGAAACTTTGAGAGCCAGTGGGGCGGATTCCTGAGAGTCTTTTTTAACGCCATATAGATGTTAGCACTCACCGATATGGTCTTTATCACCATACAAAATTTGAAAACGATTGATTCAGCCGTCTAGGAGGAGTTTGCGTATTACGAAATGCATAAGAGTCGACGTATAAGAGCTTCGCTCGCTTCGCTCGCTCCGCTCAATTAAGTTGTAGGTAAAGAATGTAAAATAATACAAGCTGCTATACCCGTCAGTGTTGCCAGATTGGACGGCGTAAATTATCGTACAAGCAGTCCAAAATTATCGTATTTGGGGCAAAATTATTGTACACACAATTTTCTTTTATATCGTATAATGTAAAACAAGCAAGTCGATAATGGAATGACCAAAATTTTACTCTATTTGTCTCTGCCACCCACCGTTTTTGCTCTACCAGCCTACCACTGAGCTAGAAAAATATAAATTCTACCGGAGGCAGCACACTATCACACACACACACGGAATCTGCATCTCCGCTAGTAAAATAAATATTGAAACGCTGTAAAATGATGGTATTTTGGTTCTCAACTGGAAAATCATCCAGCTCATTGCTTTATTTCACTCCCCCAATGCCAATGTACTGAGTACAATAATTAATTGAAGGTACAACGTAATCTACCCCTAGTACAGCGGCCAACTTCTCTCAAAATTCTCCTTTAAACACTTAAGTTGGTAGCCAATGGGCCCTCTCTAACACAGCTGATGCCTTTGCAGGGTTGCCAGATCAAACAGCAACGAAGTAAATGTTACCTTTTTTTCATATATTGAAAGTGGGAAATGTTCTTAAATGTATAATAATCAATATGAAATAGTTTATTTTCTAGCCCCCTAAAAATAATCGTACATTATGACAAAAAATCGTACACAACGTCAAAATTATCGTACAATTTTTCAACATTATTTGTGACGTAATTTTCCTGGCGGACGACAAGAGGGAAATTACGCCACTGGTACAAAAATGAGATCCCAGGATTCGCCCTAGTCTGGTCGCGGGGAGTTTCCCAGGAGTCGATAGTGATTCGGATAGCCTAAATTTGATAGCCCTGGTTGTCAGAGCTCGAGACGAACGTTGCGGGTTACCCAAACACCCAACTCGAAATCACCACTCTAGCCTAGGGCTTGTGGGGAAATTAATAATTTTGACTTGACTCTGTGGGCAAATATCTAAATGCAACTCTACTAGCTAACTTAACGAGTGAACAAGTAAGCTAAGTAGTCACTCCGCTTACCTACGGAGTTAAGTCGTCAAGCTGCAACAAATAAGGTTAGTACAAAATAGGCCTAACCTAGCCTAACTCCCACAGAGTCCGAATTTATTAAACAAGAAAACAAGTTGGCTTAAGTTGTCCAAGTGAGACACAAAACGATAAAAAAACTGAAACTAAAAATTAAACTGCTCCTTGAGCTGAAAACGAAAAGCTAAAACTTTAACTTCCTCACGTGTTCAACTTAAACCAACTTCGACAGAAATTGTCCAGCTGAAACCTGTCTGCTGGAACAAGCTTTGGAACGTTTGGGGGACTTTAAAAAGGGTTTTAAGAATTAAAAAGAAAGTCCCAAAACGGATTAAGAAACGTTAATCGAAAATATATTTCACTAACTGCAATACTTTACCAAATTAGTTGGTTAAGGCGTATGACTAGGTCTGCGAATCAGGCCTAGCCTTCAAGTTCAACCAAGCTTCGTACACGAAAACTGGTCAAGTAATATACGAAAACCAGAGAAGTTAACTACGAAACTCACCAGTCGACGAAATTATAACCAACCATGTTCCTGCACACGTTCACAACAAAACTATTCGAACTTAAGCTTTCAGAGCTTGCCGAAACGTAACTTTAAAACGACGAAGAAGTTACACGAAATCTCAAATTCAAGACGAACGAACGAACTAGCGAAAACGAATGCCCCAAAAGCCGGGAATACGAATGACAATCCTTCACAATTCTTATTCTTCTCTTCACCTTCGTCTCAGAATCGAGACGAAAGTTAAAACGCTCCCTGATTGGTCAGCACAAACAGAGTCAGCTGAGTCCCGTGTCAGCAAAGGTAGGCGCATTACAGCTTTAACATGCTTACAGCAGCGTACCACTCAAAAGGTGGCCCCGCTGCTCCTCTTTTCTCCCGTGTCCCGCCCTCAGACGCAGTCGAACAGCCAAACAACCAAACTGACACCAACGTCGTCTGCGATCTTGGAATTTGAGGTTAGGTGCGATGTCAGTTTAGCGTCGCGACTAGGGCACAACAACAGCTTACATTCAGCTGTTTAAGTTTTGTGGTTTAGCCGTTATTTTACCCCCTACACATTTGACCCGTTACATATTTTTTATGGGGAAGGAGCAAAAGAATCGTACACCTGGCAACACTGATACCCGTGCTTTGCAACGGGAAGAAAATGTGACCTAGAGACCTAAAGTGGTGCTGATGTGTGTTTTAAAATACAGCAACTCTGTGATTTAGTTTGAAAATATAAACTGATTAAGTGTAAACCTACTTACTAAGTATAAGTACTTTCAAACCCCTACTTTTGATGTTAATAGATCCAAAAGAATATGACAACATACCTTAGTGTAGCAATAGCATCAATTGCTTCATATTGATGCTTCATGAATGACATTTTTTAACATAATTCTTCAATTTTAGTCAAGTGTCTTTACATGTAGCTTTAAGTTACTTTATAAATAAAAAAATGAAACTTTGAGCACTTACTGTACGTATACCACCTTTCTTTAAAGCCAAACATAACCCTCCTCGATCTTCATAAAGTGTTACAAACATTTTTCTGCGAGTAAATAAACAAACACCAGTTCATTGTACTGACCAGCTGTTTTATCAACTAAACTTTGGAAGCATGCCAGTTGTAGCCCTTTTAAAATCAGCCTGTGGGGCAGAGCCCTTAGGAAATTCGTGCAAATCAATACTTTTCGGCAAATCTACACACTCTAAGCTATCATATGCTTATATTTTTATTTGGTAAATAACCTTAAACGTTTACATAAAATTTGATTGTATCACTTTAATATTATAATAGATAAGCCTTAAACAAAAGAAACCTAAGCAAAAACCAGTCATATGAGAAATGTGTGACTCTTAATAAGGTTTCAAGAATATCTTAATTATAATACCAGTCTTTCCTTTTTAGAGACATTCAAACAAACACGCTTAAAAAAATGCTTCACCAATTTCATTATAAAGAAAATATTTGGTCCGTATAAACCAACCCCTTACAAGTGTTTGAATTTTTTCAGATGTGAAATTCCTGATGACCGTACGCAGACGTACGTCAACGCAATTGATAATTGCATTTCTAACATGTCTCCTCAATTGATTTTTGTCATTCTAACGTCTAATAAGGCAGATAGATATTCTGCAATTAAGAAAAAGTCCCTGGTTGATCGAGCAGGTAAGTGGGTACTAATAATTGTTGTGGTGTATGGTTTAAGTTTTAAAGCAGGTAAATTCAGTATTTGAATGAGAATTTTGTTAAACATAATGTTTTCAAGTCGCCACATTACTTGTTGATTGCTGACTTCAGACTAACAGTGAATTTCTTAGGACTTAGTGTAAATTAATTTTTCCTATTAGATTCATCAGATCTTGTTATTGACCGAGCGTAGGTGAATTTTATCGTGCATTATAATTATTTTAAATTTGAAACCAACCTCTGCTTACTAATAGTATTTAATAGAATAATAATATTGCTAGCAACAAAAAAGTTATATCTGTCAATTATAATTGTTTACTTACCTATTGTGAATATCAATAAGTTTAAGTTTAATGAATGAAATGGAATATTTATGTTCCTTCTGACTTCAATAAAGCTTTTTGTTTGTCAAGCTTAATAAATAACTAAATTGCATTAAAATATTTGATATCCATTAAATAACCATATTGTTAATATGGCGTATAACGATTCAACATGTGCAATTATTCATTGATTTTTTTTTGTCTAAAAATAGCTAAGAATGAAACAGAATTTTTTCTATGGGGGTTATGAATGGAAAAAACTAATTTATATCCCATAAAGCCCTGTTTCCATCCGATCATATTGATTTGAAATTTAGGCTTTCTATTACATTTGTGCTGAATTAAATGAAAATGGGATGATTTTTATTCAAGATTTTGTTCTTGGGTTTTTTTCCTTTGGGACAAAATTGGTCCCAGGTCTGGGTCTTGCCATGAGACCCGCCCACGGTAATGGCTTATTCCTTATACAGTAGACTCCCTCTTATCCGGACACCTTTTAACCGGTCATCCGTTTAACTGGACTACACTCGGCGGAAATGACATCTCTTTAACCGGACAATTTTTATCAGAACATAAGTTTAACTGGACTAGATAGGCAGGAAGTGGGCAGTACTGAAACGACTGTTCACGTGGGAAAGATTTGAGGACAGTGATCACGTCTCTAAATACAATGCTCTCATAAATTTAAGTCGAATATCACAGTAAACAGTCCGTTTTAACGAGTTTTTGGAGACATCGGTTTAACCGGAAAACCCGTTATCCGGACTGGCCTCGGTCCCGAGGAGTCCGGATAAGAGGGAGTCTACTGTATGGAAAATTTGTTTAAAGAATATCTATCTATATATTAATAGGCAAGCATGTTTCTTTAAAACCTTTTTTCTCAGCTTGTGTGCATCGTGGGGTAAATCTACGCATACCGTTAGAAAGCTATTTTCCTGTAGGTGTGCAGAATCCCTTTATAAATTTAAATAGGCTCAAAGATAAGCACAAAAAATGAGTTTACAAATTTGAAAAAATTAACATGGATCTTATGCGTTGCCATGCTGGTGACGAAATAACAACGAAATATAAACAGAAAATCAAAACAAAATGGAAGAAACTCCAATCACATGTTTTATTTACAGTGTGGGGTGAAAATAGAGAAGTGAGTACATTACATATTTTTGGTCGAGTTTCGACCACTGGACGACCTCTCGTTATAGTTTAATATGGTGTTGGTAAATTGTTAGTGGATGTAAATATATTTCCTAATACCTCATTGTAATTGAACTTATACTCAACTTTGTGGTCTTCTTCAAATACCTAACAAAAGTAATACATTTATGTTTATACAGTTCCGACCCAGGTGCTGTTGGCAAAAAATATGGGCAAGAAAGGTGTAATGAGTATAGCTACCAAAGTAGCTATTCAAATAAATTGTAAAATCGGAGGAGCCCCCTGGTCAGTTCAGATGCCATTGGGAGTAAGTATTCAACAAAATAGTATGAAATTGTATTGTAAATTGAAGGACTGTTGTTAGTGAGATGCATAAACAATTGTAACTCTCATCTCAAGATAATGTGGATTGATCTACTTAAGGTCAGGTTTTTATTCTGACTTGCTAGCTACCTTCAAAAGATGGGTTTTATTAGGTTGAAATTTGTTTAGCTAATGATTAATCATGGTGACTGAGTCAACCTTGAAATTGAGAACTTTGAATCGTGAATCTTGTATTAGAATCCATTTAACGAGAGACCCGTGTGTTATCTTTTGTCACCAGGATTAAAATAATTATGAAATTGAAATCTCAGGAAATTATGCTTTATTGTAGGTGAAGTAAATATTTAATAAGTAAGAGTAGACTTTGCTTGTGAATCTAAATTTTGTATTTCATTATTTAAAGTTGACATTGAATGCTAAAAAATTATATTTATAGTATGATTTGGGGTTTGAAATTCCTGGATTTGACTATCACTAATCATGTTTATCGACAGTGAACCTAGACCATGATCAAATATGCAATAAAAAGCATATAATTACTAGTTGTTACCCAAGGGCTTCACCCCGTTTGACTTTATAAGTATTAATAAAACAATTGATTGGTCAGGTTAAGCTGAAATAAATTAACAGAGTGCACTAATCCAAACGAATAATCACACCTGATTTTAATAAGGTAATAAATTGAAAGAACGTATACAGTATATAATGTATTTATTCAATTTATAACATCTTTGACAATTTATTTTGACTCATAAAAAATATATATAGAATATAAAATATGTAAACTTAACTACACCAGGAATAATATAAAAAGATATCCTTGTCCCATACCAACATTCTTAGCAGTGACTATCCAGTTGAGTTTAAAATACAGTGCACAATTAACTCATTTATTTCATATTAAATTGTTTATCAGGGTTTGATGACAATTGGGTTCGACGTTTGCCATGATTCCAAACAGAAAGGCAAATCATTTGGAGCCATGGTGGCATCACTTAACAAACCAATGTCTAGATACTTTTCTGCAGTATCCCACCACTCTACGGGTGAAGAACTTTCAAATGACCTTGCTCTGAACATCGTTAGTAAGTATTCAACCACACATTACTATCATCTGTTGTTGGTAGTCGAGGGAAATTGTTTGTTTTTATTTAAATTTATCTCATCTCTTGAAGTGTTGTTTTAAAAACAGTGGGGTGAATTGGGGATGGAATTGCTTTGCGTAATTTTTGTGAACGGAGTGTTATCGAACATGTCCTTGCAGGTTTAAAGTAATCTTCCTTGGGATCAAACAATAACACTGTAATTGAAATTGGTTTAGAACTAGGATCATTACTACTTGTATCCAACATTAGGATCTAATGTTCTTGAACATTAGAATCCTAAATTTTATTATTTATTTTATTAACAATTATTGTATGTATGGACTACATACAATAGCCCTTATAACTGGCCAACACGGGGCCAAGCCCCTGACTGGATAACGATTTGGCAGGTTTATCCAACCTACTGTTGCTGGCTTGACTCTAGACAAAAAAACTGGCGATTCATCAATAACTGATACTCTTTAAATACAGTATTTATAATCAACTAACTAAACCTACCATGACCTGGTGTACCAAAACCTATGAGAAGCTGAGGTTATTCTTATTTACAATACTTCTACAGTAGAACCGTATGTCTATATAATACAGTGTTTTATTTCAGCTACATAAATGTTACAATGGATTAGAAAATACTTTTAAACTAAAAAGTTGAAGTTTCTAAAGCATTTTACATTAAGTATAACTGACATTTTAGCCCTGTATTATTTTATAGAATCATTTCCTCGGTTAACCGAGGTTCTACTGTATATACAGCTAACTTATCACTTGATGAGGGTCAAAAAATTAGAAAAACCATTTTTTACCCCATAAAACCTGTATAACCCTGTTCTCATGGTCCGATCATGCTTGTTCGCGAACTCATTCAAGTTTATCCCGCCTTACACCTTTAAACAAAATTTCATCAAAATCGGACAAAAATTACTCAAGTAATCGCGTTCACGGACGTATATATATATATATACACAATTTTGAACCAATTGTGTTTTTGGCCTCTGGGGACATCAAAATGAAAAAGTAAATCGGTCCCGGGCCTAGGTCCTACCATGCTACATACGGTAATAGCTACGTCCCTATAGGAAAATTCGCTCACAGTCAAATGTAATCAAACAGATCAATTAATTGTAAGTGATAGTCACTAATAAGATCAATACGCAAGATCATCAATTCATCTACACTTACGGTATGAAAGATGTGAGAACATTTTAATATTGGCTTTCGGAAGGGGACAGGATATCAGAGGTTCTACTGTAGCAGTGGTTTTCCAGTGGCACTTAAATATGACATGTGGTTATCATACTGGACTTTCACTTGCATATTACTGTTACCTAGAACTAATTATTATGTATCAATTTTCAGAGGCCCTTGAGTCTTATAAAAAACACAACGGCACATTCCCATCACATATTCTCATCTACAGAGATGGAGTGGGAGATGGACAAATCCCTTACGTGTTTGAACACGAGGTTGTAAACATTCAAGTAAGTATTATCTTTGACTATTCATTTCAAATGTAATATTGTGATAAGTATTGTTACATATTGGGGCTATAATGGGAATAAAATAGGCTTACACACACACATTCACGTCTCAGGAGAGGAAGTAGTACCTACAGAATGAAGATAAGTTAAAAAATAAGATCAAGCTTACAGATTATACACACCGTCTTAAATAATCAACTGTTGTTGCACAATATTGAGTTGTATAAGAGTTGCAAATTAAGTTTTGGGGATGTGTTTTTTCCTTTTCTTTTAAGATCTGAGTTAACCAAGTTGATAACGGGAAGTAAAGAAATGCATTCAAATAAACTGAAAAATATCTTAGACTTTGAGAACAATACTAATAATGCACATGGATGATGGTTGTGGTGATCAATTTTGATATGGACAGGGATACTCAAATAATATCAGAACCAACAGAATGGCATAACCCCGCTTCAGCAAACTTGCAAAATAATTTAATTCATTTGCCTGGCAGGATTTTCACTAACATATTCTCTTAAATTTGTGACATATTATATTTCTTTTTTTAAACATAATTTTTATTGAATACTTGGGTTTACTACTACAGGGAAAAAAATGTAAAAAGGGTTTTCTGTTTATAGCTTATATATTACATAAATAAATTTGCCAAATTCGATTAAAATATAAACAAGCAGTTTTTGTTTCCTCCACAACTTGGAAATTTTAATTTACAATTTTATAATTTTCTCCGTAACTGTTAGACATACAACAATGCTCAAATATACACAAGTGTTTATTAGACATACTTGTATTTATTCTTTGTATAATTCATTTGTATATTTTATTTTCTGATTACTAAAAACATTTCAAAACTTTTGGCACAGCAGTCTCTTTGTAATAAGTTTTCTTCAGATATCAATTGGTGCAAACTGACTTTATGTTTTTGCTTGCAGCGCGCCATCAGCGAAGTGATTGGCCAAGCACCAAAGCTGGCTTTCATTGTTGTTTCAAAACGTATCAACACTCGTCTATTTAGTGAAAGGGGGAATCCCAGGCCAGGGACTGTCGTCGACGATGTGATCACTCTACCAGAGAGGTGAATAGCTTCTTGTTGTTGGTTTTGAATTGGCCAGTTAGATGCTGTTCTAGACTGTTGGAATTTTAATAGCTGGAATACAAGAATGAAATTTAATTAGTGATTTGTCTGTCATAAAAAAATATGAAATAATTTGTCTGTCATAAAAAAATATGAAATAATAAATAAATGCTATCTGACTCATGACATGCTTACTGTTTTGAGCTGTAAAACTACACTGTCAAATGTTTATAAATTTGCATGTTGGTGTTTGTTTTCTTCATTAATTACAAAAGAAAGTTATTATAACTCTTGATAATTACTGATACAAGTTTCTATATTTCAGATACGATTTTTTTATCGTGTCCCAGTACGTCAACCAGGGAACGGTGAGCCCCACAAGCTATAACGTCATTCATGACACAATTGGTCTCGACCCTGATAAAATGCAGCGACTAACTTTCAAAATGACTCACACATATTATAATTGGAGTGTAAGTATATTATATCTGAATCAATTCACTCTGGCGTTGTTTTGTAAATCTTATTTCTATAGGGTCGGGGATTGTTTTGGTTGACAATCATTTTTCATTGTATTCTCAATTCACTTTTTCACCAAGATTAAGTATATGGTAATGTATCTTACAGCCTCCATTAAATGTTATTCATAAGCCTATGACAGTTAGATTATTGAAAATTCTTGTGTAGGCCTAAATGAGTTTAAGAAATTGCAATCTTATATACTAAAAAACTTGCAAAACCGATGACAGCTAGCCTGTTTATACTACAGGACCAAATTACACGCGGTTGGTACCAAATGAAAGATATTTTCCTGTAGACGTGCAGAATCCCTTTATAAATTAAAATAGGCTCAAAAATATGTATAAAATATGAATTTGAAATTTTAAAATATTAACGTGGGCATTATGAGTTGCCACTGCTAACCAAACAACAACCAAATAGAAACAGAAAATCAAGAAGAAATTACAATCACATGTTTTATTTTTACAGCGTGGAGTGAAAATAGAGAAGCCTGTACGTTACATTTATCATAAGACAGTACCAGTTTTTGTATTCCCGATTCATAAAATGTTTCCACCTGTGCTGTCAACATTTTCATCCAGCTCTTCATTGCTATTCAAGAGCTCACTGCCAAGGAAATATTTAAAAATTCTAATTAGTGAGTGTAGTGAGAGTGTGAGTGTGTGTCAGTATAATGTCTGTCCCAAAATACTTTCATGACTTTTCAATGGGTCAAGCTTTACCTGGGTGTACAGCTCTTGACACGTGAGCTGGCACTTGAACAACCGCGACTAGTCTAGTTCAGAAACATTATGTACTGTCATACAGGTTGCGTCATCTGTCCTCGCGACTAATTTACAGGCGCTTAAGTACATGAAACACAGGGACTCAACCTGTTAGTCAGCAGAACTGTTTGCAGTCCGGTCTTTAACTTACCTCTACCCTCCCCCTGACAACTTTGCACTTTGCCCTCGCTAGACCCAAGTCCCGCTAACGTGTTATGAGCTGTATCTTGGCCAATAGAGTATGACTCCATTCTAACGATTGTCGTTTGGTTTCAAGGGTATCATAGCATCTCATCCCTAACAATTGCTTGCTGTTGAAGCATGTATATTACATCTGTATCAATTTGAGAATCCAACCAGGCAAATGGAAATTTTCTTAATCTGCAGGTTTGCTGTGGCGGGGGTATGGCCATTGTGAGGTTTCCATAGTAGTGGTTGAAGACTTGTAGTCACCTAGTCTTATTTCAGTGTCTCAATGTACAGTTGGGTTCCAGCCACTGCCCAATAAGCCCACACTGGCAGTGTTACTGTTGAATTACAATACTAGTTTGCTCAAGAACTGTTTTATGTTTCAGGGTACAGTTAGAGTGCCAGCACCTGTCCAGTATGCGCACAAATTGGCGTTTCTGGTCAGTCAATCTCTACATCGGGCTCCTAATCCAAGTCTTGAGGAGCTTCTGTTCTTTTTGTAAAGAACTAAAATCCAAAGTGCCGTACATGTGACATTAAAGTGCCTTAATAAGTGTTTGTGACATTAAATTCATATGCATAAATGCTCAGGGAATGATATTTTTAAGTGCTTTTACTTTAAGGTTTTTTACTCAGGAATTGACATTTTTCCATTTAAAGAAGACTGATCAGTTTTTGTTCTTAAGTTTTGATCCCTAATGCAGCATAGAATAGTGATGGTGCACAAGTAATTTTGAGTTGGTGAGATTTTACTATGTAAACATTTTAGTTTTATGTTCTGTTTTGTAGAACAAATTTGTAAATATGTTCATTGTTAGTAACAATTCATTATTAGATTTAAGGAACTAAGTAAGTCTGTTTTGTTTGTGTAAAGTATTTTTCTACATTTGTTAAAGAGTTTAAAGAGAATTTAATAAAAAAAAGTCTTAACATGAAATTGTTATAAGTTGACCTTGTGGAACTTTCTGAAAGTATGAAATGCGAACCAATACAATTACACCCCCCCCCCCCTTTTTAAGCTTATCTTTTCAAAAGATTACTTATTTATAATAAGGAATAGGTATAAAAAATAAATAATCAACAAATTAACAAACCGAAACTACTTATTTCAGAAACAAATTAATTTGGTGTAAGTAATAAAAAATAAATTTGAATAGAATGTTTTTGAGGACCCCCAAAAAATGCTGGCGGACCCCCCTGCTGTGGCCCACACTTTGAGAAACTCGGGGGTAGAGGCCTGCAGAAAGAACATTCACAATTAAACTGTAACTAGTATGGATAATGTATTTAATAACCCCTATTATAAAAATAAATTATTTTAATCTGTCAACCGATATTAAAAGGAAATGAGAACAAAACTAGACCTATTTGATTTTGATTAAACTAACTTGGAACTGCCCTCTAGTACTTAAATAATGTGAGAGCAAATGTATTTTCTTGCAGATGGATTTTTATATTTATGTTTAAAAGACTGTATCTTTTAAACCCGGACGCACACAGGGTACAATTAACACGTTTGCTGCGGAGCGGTCGAAATCGGCCGTTCCCATGATTTAATTTTGAACAGTCAGTGTGAGCTCAGCTATTGAAGCGGAACGTTAAAACCGTTGCCATTGCCAGCCTGTAGCTTAGAATGCAAGCTTTATTTTGGTGTAGGTTGGTACTAAAATTTCCCGTAACATCCCGTCTGGCAATGCTTACAAAGACACTGGCTACGGATCAAGTCAGTGCTGCTACCCTAGGGTGTTTCAGTGAACTACGTCCACTCTCAGGGGTAACGCAGCACAATCACCGCTGCTCTTTTGGGATTGGTCAGCGACTGAAATATTTAAATGCCAATTGTGTTCGGTGGCGCGCTGGGGCTTTGCCTGGGCCTCATCGCCATCGGTGAGAGCCTGTTTTATGTTTGCCGCAGTGAACGTGTTAAAAAGCTATATTTCATTAAGCATTATATTTTAATTCCTCAAAATCCTAAAAATGGTTAAAAAACAATACTAATTTAATACATTCTGAATATCATTCAGATTTAAAGCATAATGTGATTAAAACATAATAAGCATTAATTAACAAACGGCCCACTCTGTATAATAATTGAGGAGCGACGCACTCTGTCTTATTGACGGTTATTCCGAAAAACGAGACGCACAGGGAGGAAAAGATTCGGTTCAATTGTATAACACTGTAAATAATAGTCAAAACATCAATGTATTCTTTAGGCCTAATCAAAAAACACATCAAAATTGTCATAATTCGTTAATTATTTCCATAACTAATGATACAATTTAAAAAATCAAATATAACATCTCGAAACTATTTAAAAAGTCAAATGAAAGGTTGAAATGTCTCCTATTGTGGCCACCGCCACGCGACTACAAAGTCATCTGAAAAAAGTCACCACATGTAGCCTTAGCTATATATACTCTCACAAGTTAATTCAATTCAAACATTCTTTATTTTGTAATTGTACATGAAATTAGTACATAGAATTGCAACAACACATTTTGTTAAGACTACATTAACGACTAAACATACTACGATTCTTCCAATGAATACAGTGGTCTTGAAATTAAATAATTATTCTTTAGGCATTTTTTAAACTTAATAATACTAACTTTTTTTAATGTTATCGGGTAAATTATTATAAAATTATCCGAAAAGCATGTTGTTTTCTTTTTGTAAAACTCTAGTTTGTGAATGAATAGGCATGATATGTTTTGCCTGTTTCTAGTAGGCCTCTAGGTTTCTAGTAAGTATGACTTTCCCCTAGTAAACCCAAATCATCAAAGTGAAGCTTACAATACATTAACAGTCATAATGCCAAAATTTTTGAAATGGTCTTTTACAGTATCTTGCCATTTTTGACTACGGATTATTTTTAAAGCTCTTTTTTGTAAAATCAGAATTGACATGCAGATTCTGAAATTGATGTTTGCAAGTACATATGCATAGTAAACCGTTTTTAATGTTTCTAGATTGCATACTTTTGATAGCTTGTACAGAGCAAATAATCCAGATTTGACCTTTTTGGCCACTTGTTCAATTTGGTGATCCCAACTCAAATTACTATCAATTATTGTTAAACCAAGAAACATAGTATTTTCAATTTTGTTAATTTAATAGTAATTTAGACCAACTTCTACTGATTCAAAATCATTCATTTTGTGTTGTTTTGTACTAAACTAAGTAACACTGGTTTTAGTAGTGTTAAGCAATAATTGATGAGCAAAAGTAATTATTAAGTTCAATAAAGTTTTCCTGAATAGAAGCATAGAAGATTCTAGTTCCTTGACTGATCCAACACAAGTTTTAAGTTTGTATACAGGCAGAGCTTTCGCTACGCTCACTCACCTTTAGGTTGGAGCTCGTTCGCTGCACTCACTTGCCTTCGGGTTAGCTCGTTTGCTACGCTAACTCGCCTCCAGGTTGAAGTTAGTTCGCTACGCTCACTCACCTTTTGTTTGCAAATTAGCTGTCATAAATTTAAAAAAATAATAGTGCTGCACCCTGTTGGTAAACCTGTTAACTTTGAATGCTATTGAACATCACAGAATCAAATAGTTTAGTTGAACCAGCTGTTAAGGTTTATAATTCCATTTAAATATGAGTACTCCAGGGCTGTGCGAATCCAGAAATTTTTGTTTGAATCCGAATCATAGCTGTACAGATTTTATCGAATCCGAATATTTTAATTAATCCCGAGTCGAATCTGGGTCGAATCCGAATCTCAAATTTACAGCCATTATCGAACCTGGATCGAATCCGAATCTGAAATTTAAAGCTGTTATCGAATCCGAATATTTAAACCTGTTCAGAGTCGAATCCAAATCCGAGGAAAGTCAGCAGTACCAATTTTCACATTTTTAGACCACATTTTCTGGGGCTGAAATAACTTAGGGAATTGCTTAAAAAAATTCTTGAAATGGGCCAAATAAAAAAGTTATAAAATTTAGGCCTACCTATTTGAAGTTTTGAAACTAAAAAATTGGGCATAAGTTAGGCATACCACCTTGGCCTAAGTTACTCGCTAAAAGTGATGGACTACCAATTTGTGTAGTCTAAAACATAGGCCCAGCCTATTATACACCTCGGTGTTAATCCTCCACACAAGCCTATGTCTGCATTACTATTACAAGTAACAACTCACACTGTGAGGTTAAGTTTACTGATAGCCAAGATAGGGTTCAAATGCGACCTACACTAATGTGCCTAATGCCTAAAACCTAACACCAAGTTGGTCAGGTTCCTAACATGAACCAGTCAACAGCAAATCGGAGTGCACAAGTAGTTTTTTAGTGTCTAAAAAATTATATTGAAAATTATATTCAATCAGAATCTAGTAAATTTGAATATCGAATCCCAACTCGGATCTATTTCCAAGAAATTCGAATATCGAATCCGAACCCGGATCTCTTACCAGTAAATTCGAATATCGATTCCGAATCCGAATCCAGTTAGAAACAGTAGATTCGTTCTCGAATCCGAATCGAATCTCTAAAAAGATTCGGATTCGATTCGTTTTTCGAACTATTCGCACAGCCCTGGAGTACTCATAAGGTTAACATGAGAAACTCCAGTGCTACTGGGGCAGAGCCCCTTTGATGGATCTGCACCTAACTTCACACAAACCATCCTTGTATAGTGCCTGAAAGTTTTGTTACAATCTGTCAAGCGGTTTTATAACGTTCAAATATATATACAAACTTCCTCTTTTATAAATATAGATTAAAAATAACAGTGGACCTAGAATTGAGCCTTGTAATACACCTTGTTTGATTAATGTTATTTCTGATTTTTACTTTCTCCCCCTATACCACAATAATGGTTAAATTACGGTTCAAAAGTTATTGTAAATTAATTATGTTATCTTCCCATAAAACCCCATAAAATAACGGGAAAATTGGATTTTCCCACAAATGGCCTAAACGATTTTGATAAAAATTTAATATGTTAAAAATAGTCCTTTAAATTCTGAAAAAATTTTACAAATCCCATTTCCGTATATTTACTCTCACCGCTTACACATGATAAAGGTTGTTGACAAACTTATGGGAGAAAGTATGTCTCAGAATGCTGATACCGTTTATTCCTTAATGAAATGATTTTTATTTGCTTTTGTTAGTTCAAAATATTGTTTTCTATTACATTTAACCAAGACAAAACTGGGTCATGAATTTTGAATCCAGCCAATTTGTTTATCACTAGTGAGTGGTTGGATACTGTCTAAAGCTTTTGTAATATCAATAAATATACCTACTACTTTAGTTTTAGTTTCAACTGTATTAATGACTGATTCAACAAATTCAAAAGCTGCTGTTACAGCAGAACGCCGCAACGCCGTTTTCTAAAACCGTGCTGCTCACCATCTAGTAAGTTATTTTCCTCAAAATGAGCAATCAATCTATTGTACATTGCTTTTTCATAAATTTTATAAAAAACTGGTAATAATGATAATTAGGTTGATAATTTGACATTTTAAATTTATCTCCTTTTTGTAACAGGGGTTTAATCTTTGGAACTTTTCATTTGTTTGGAAATATTCCACTGATAAAAGAGGAGTTACAGTAATTAGGTGCACTAATGGCTTTAGTAAATATTTTTTTGAATGTTTAATTATTAATTGGCTTTGTATTTTGTAAGCCTATAGAGTATTTATTATCAAAAGAGGCGATATTATCAAAAGACAATGTCCTTTTCAAGTAATGAAGAGTTATATTTGCTTGAAAATGTTGAATTGAAAATTTGTAGAAGGAAAATAAGTGTTCATGCAATTAACCGTGGAAGAAATAGGTTCGCGGAATACCACCATCTACTTCCTCAATTGGCATTTATTTATTTATTTACCAACGGCAATACACCAATTTACAAAGATAATAGTTTTGACCGCTACAACAGTGAATGTTTGTGTTTTATACTAGGTACTAACAATAATAAACAATGAAAAGAATAACAATAATAGAAATGAAATTAGTAGGTAACAATAATAAATAATGAAAATGAATAACAATAATAAAAAATTAAATAAACAACAATAATAACGATGCTGCCACTCCCCTTTACAGCCTCCAAACTGGCATTAGACAGAGTGAGGTTTTAGCGAATTTCCCATATAGGGAATAAGCTATTACCTTAGTACTCATGGTAAGACCTGGACCCGGGACCGATTTGCTTTTTAGTTTTGAGGTCCCTAGAGGCCGTTCAACTTCATATATATATGTGTGTGTCATGTGTCCGTTAGCGCGATAACTCAAGCAAAAATTATCAGATTTTTATTACATTTGGTACAAACGTGTAAACCTACATTTATTCGAACAACCAGCATGATCGGACTATGGATCGAAACGGGGTTTTATGGGATAAAAATAGGTTTTCCCATTTTTTACCCTAAAAACCCAAAATTCCACAATTTCTTTCCAAACCATTTTGTAGAGCTTTAAAAAAAAACAAATAATTTACTATATTGAACCATTATTATGCAATTCAAAAAAATAGTAAATTTAATATTCCCATGTTATTCTTATGGGGAATAAGTCAACTGTTAGCAATTTGCTTGTTTATGAACATATTTTGATCAAATTTAGAAAATACATTCATTTATTACTAAACTACAATATTAAAATTTTACAACAAAAAACACTTTTACCCTCCCTGTTGCAGCAAACCTAAGTACTCGTTAAACTAATTTTATTTAAATAGGGAGTAAAGTGATATTTTTAAGGAGACATTTTTTTTTGTAAATCCAATCAGGCAAATGGAAATTCGCTAAGACTGCAGGTTTGCTGTGGCGGGGGTATTTTTCTTATATGAGAATCCACATTTAGTTACATCCTCGAGAAACTCTATTAGCATGTAGTTTGAGGAGTTTGTCCCAAATAGCCCCTCTTCTAAAGACTTGAGATATCGCGGTTCATCGACATCCATATACTGCACAGTGTTTGTCACTGACTGGTTCAGTCAATAAGAGCCGGAAAATGTTTAATCAGTCAATAATAGACGATAAATAGTTATTTGTGTAACTAGTGTGCAAAGTGGCACTTATTTGCACAGTTACTACAGTATATATAGTATAGAAATTTAGTCTTAAACATGGTGAATGAATGAATGAATGAATGAATATATGTGTGAATGGTTTTAGGTTATAGGTTAAATCAAACGTTGAACGAATGGGAAAGGGAAGCACGATTTGTTTTTCAGGATTAATTTTGCCAACAGTGTCATTTGGAGGATTCTGACTATAATGAAGGTTTACTGATAGAAAAATTAACTGTAGGAAATAGTTATTTGTGTACGGTAACTATAGTGGGCGTAGTGGCATTTCGCTGCACACGAGGAGTTTGTGTCCTCGGTTCGTGGTGGCACAGAAAAAAATGTAATTTGAATTTGAGCGTATGGCCTTGGCTGGTGCGTCTGCGTCCTCTGGCTGACTGTTTTTGGCGCTTGCTTAATTGCTGACTGAGTGTGTGGGACTTTTTTGTTAGACATTTTGTTTTTGTTTTATCGAAAAAGTATTGACTTTGTGTAAATAATGCGTTAAATTGTATTACATAATTATATTTTATATATATAATTATGTATTTAGGAATTAGTCTTTCAAGCACTGTACAACAAGTTTTTAGGTTGAGTTAAATCCAAACATTGAACGAAATGGGAAACGCTGCACTAGCTGATCGTTGTCATAAATAAGTGTTGTCAACTTATTTTCAAGCGTACACGGATTACGTGCATTGTGCATTATAAAAGCAAGCACGCTTTTTCGTGTCGTTTGGTTGGAATACTGCGTTTGATTGGCTTTCTGTACCATAATCTATGTTAGGAAGTCCAGTTTGTCGGGTGACTAGGAAAAATAAATTATTTTTTACTGTACAGTTGGTTGGTATTAGCCCCTCCAGCGCCGTCGTATTTTCTATCGATCATATTGGCTACTTCAAAAAAGGCAGGGTATGTCTCGTCCTCGTCGTTGCCATGGAAATTCGTAAATAAACACGAGTCAAGTGGTGAGGAAGTGCAAGTACAGCAAACTGCAAGTGTGTGAGGTGAAATATTGAAATGGGGGGTTTGCGTGATATCCAAGTGATTAAAAATTCTGATGTGAACGATTACAGTTTAAGGAGTCGGTCAAGTTGCGTCGTTTTGCTTCAAAACAATTAACAGAATAACGCAATCAATTCATTGATACACCATTATAGCAGCTTTTACAAACTTACTTTTACAAACTTTAATCCAACAAATATTTTTACTATTGAACATATATTTTAAGTTACTTAGATGGACAATGTTTTTTAGAATCTCTAATTGAAACCAGATGAATATTATGTCTAATGTTGTCAATATTATGGAACAAAATTCTGTCAATAAGATTCCTTTATGGCTGGAAGAACTGACCAAGTAAGTAAAGTGAATATTTTTTTTAGTGCATAAGTTAGCTTTGATGCTTTATAGTAGTGTTCTAAAATTTTCTTAATTGTTGCTTGGATAAACTTAAGTAGGTAGGCATTGTACATCATACACTCGTCATAATTAATTCTTTGTTTATATTTTTATTTTAAGTTAACATGCTTAACTATAAGTTAGGCCTAATATTGAATGAGTCATAGGCCACCGGTACAGTATAAAAAATATACAAGTATCTATTTGGTACACACCATCAAAAACTTAACAAAATTTCAACTGTCAGTTTAAGGTAAGTTAACTGTAAGTTTAAGATGAATATTTTAGGGAAGCTATCAAAGCATAATAATTTAATCACTCTTTTGGTTTATCTGACTTGCAGGAGCCTAGCCAAACCAAGACCACAGTCCTGGCGTCCTGGAGCCAATGGGGAGAGGATTGATGTTTCGGAACGTCGAGCTATTACTACTCCTGGCCGAGTAGATGTTACACCAGTGAAGAAGTCACTTCTCACACTTCAACTAGATGATACTGTCTGTGTCTCGCCTAGAAGGGAAGGTTAGCCATCAAATTTTATATTTTAGTTTCTCAGAAAAATCTCATGTCAGTTCCTACACATGAGCGTTTCATAGCTGAAGAAATTAAGTTAAAGATTTCAATTTTAGTTTAGATTTGTGCTAGATATAAAGTTTGCATCTATGCAAATAAGTTTATAAACTATTTTAACTTAGGCTACGTAGTAAGCGGGCATTTATTTAACATCCACAGGTAAAGGGTGTGGTTCACTTAGTCACTACTTAAGTGACTTACTTTAGTCTATGTAGGTTATATTAATATGAATGTTCAGCTTAATAATAGTCTTTAATTCAATCAAACAAATACTGAATTTTAACCTTAGGGCCTATAAGTTAAAGTTAATTTGACTGACTTAAATCCCAAGTAGCAAAAATCGTTGGCCCAACGTTTCTGTCGATCGTTGGCCAACGGTATGTTTTGACACTCAGTCTTACGGTTGGCCAACCAACCAATTTTTGCGGACGAAGGGCCAACCATCCCATTGGGCATAAACATAAAAAAACACAAAATAATAAAGATTTTGTATGAAAAGCATAATTATGAGTTGAGTAAATTGATTAAATAGTTCATAAAAACTTATTTTGAAAATAAAACGAGAAAAAATTTTTTTGGCCGGTATGGTAAATAGGCTCCTCCCTCAACTGCAAACTTATGTGGTCCCGACTCTAATTAATCTTTTCTCTATAACTATTAAAAACTTGCTTAAATAAGTTAAAGAATATAAAAAAATGAATTATAATAATTATCATATGTTAAGCAGGTGTTCCCCACTGTATCTAGTATCACAACATCATCTGACTACATTCTTTATTGATCCAAATTTTTACAATAATTTGTCTTATATTCTGCTGCCATAACATTTATGTACTTTTAAATAAATCAATTTGTTAAAATTCGTTTTAGATTGTTTTATACTTAAACCCAACGAATGCCCAACGAAGGCCCGACGATTCTTTCCTTTGTAGGGCCAACGAATACCAGTTTCCGTTGGGCCAACTTTGGCAAATCGTTAAAATTTTTGTCAACCATTTCCCAACGTTAGGCCAACGATGTGTGCTACTTGGGATGGTACCTCCAGAGGGGTTACATAGGTCGGTTAATTTTAAATTAACAGCTTACAGTATCATTAAGAATAATTTACAAGGCTTAATACAAAACCTGAAACCTAAATGAGTTCTGCAATAAGTCCACATGATTATAATAGTCATGTGACACAGTTAATGTCATGAAGTGTAATTCAAACAACACTGTGGCCTGAATAAAGGATAATGCTAGTTTTATTTTAACTTCAATTGCCAATTCCTTTGGGGTTGTGTCTTAAGCTATGTGCCTTTTTCAGGGTCAGCTAGGTATGGCCGCAGAGCTGCGGCCAATTCCCCACTGTCTTCTCCCGACTCTGACGCTAGAAACCTATTGGATTCATGGGATCTTCCACTTACACAAAATCATAATCGAGACAACAATCATCAACTAACAACTCCAAGAATTGAACACAACCGCGTTATAAACCCAGATGACATTAGTTCCAACAACATCCAGTTCAACAATCAAGAGACAGACTTGTCTGATATCATGCAGGCAAGTCCAAGGTTAAAAGGCAGGCTCTCCCGGCAAGAGTCAAGGGTGAGACATAGCGATGATGTGCTCGAAGAGTCTTGGAGTTCATTGAGCTTCTTCAACCATAAACATCGTGGGAGAATCTCCCAGAGGCCAGAAGGTAAAAAAGAGTGTGGTTACTCTTTCTTTATCCTTTTTCTCCTCTTAAGCCGGGTTTTCCTAGACGCGGGAGAGGAGGGCGGAGAGCGGAAAAGCAAATAACATGGCGTTCCGCTCTGCTTCTAGGAAAACAGTAACATTAAATTACCTAAGACAAGAGGAGTCTGCTCTCCACGTTCCTCTCTCCGCGCTCCGCTTCCCCGCCTAGGTAAACCCAGCTTTAACTTGGATGAGTTCACCAACCAGCATGATTGGACCATGGGAACGGGTTTTTTATCATTTTTTACCCTTAAAACACAAAACTTATCAATTTTTCTCCAGAGCTTTTTAAAGAGCTTAAAAAAACAAATAATTTAGTATATAAAAGTGTTTTTGTACAGTTATTGGTTACGGAGAAAATTCTAAAAATTGTTCATTTAAAATTCCTATGTTATTTTTTTGGAGATGAAACGTCTTATATTGTCAAATGTTGTATAGACATACCGGAAACAAATAAAGACCCTGGGCCATTTCGGGCCGCACAGGTTTGAAGGGTACGCCCCACTTTCCGGCGCGAACCACGTGATCTTTTCGTTTCTGCGTAGGTTGTTTTAGACATAGACATAGACTTTATTTGCACAAAACATTCCATACATGTCATAACATTTAGAATAGGTGCATTGTCAAAATTAAATCCATACATAAAATATTTAACATTAAAACCTTTAACTTAAAATTAAACACTTAAAAAAAAATTTCTAAATAGTAGTTCTGTAAAAATCTTCAATTAAGTAAAAAGCCTTGTCAATAAGAAAATTATCTATTGTATCTTTAAATTTGGTTTTGCTTAATGACTTATAGCATGGCGGAAGCACATTATACAATCTCAGCCCAGCGTACAATGGAGATTTTTCATATAGGGTCAAACGGTGTCTGGGGAGTCTTAATATATTTTCATTTCGGGTTTCATACCTGTGATTAAAATGTATTGTTTCTGGTAGCTCATTTTTAACTGAATGTATGTAATTTAATAATTCTAGAATATACAACCCCGTTAATGTATGAATTCTTAAATTTTGAAAATGTTTCTTACAAGAACTGCGTGGATGAGAGTTGGTAATAATACAAATAATACGTTTTTGTAACATGAATAAAGTTTTAATACCAGTAGCTTGACCCCATAAAATTATGCCATATCTTAACACTGACTCCACATAAGCATGATAAACTACTTTAAGTGACTCAATAGAAACACAGTCCCTTAAATGTATGAATAAAGATGATATCGACCTAATTTTGTTACGTAAATAATTCAAATGTGAATCCCATTTAACTGCGTCATCTACGTAAACCCCTAAGAATTTATGAGCTTCAACTAAATTAAAGGAACAGTTTTCCATATTTTTGTGTCTAGTAGAAAATTTAATAATATTTGTTTTTTCAACATTAAGTTTTACCGGTAACCCATTTTCTAAAAACCATTGCTCCAGATGTCCTTTACCACACTTTGCAGAGAAGAAAACATTTCAGCTGTATTATTATTTTTGATCAAAGCAGTAGTGTCATCGGCAAAAAGAATTAGTTCTTTATTAATAGCTTTTGGAAGATCATTAATGTAAATAAGAAAAAAAAGTGGGCCCAATACTGAGCCTTGGGGAACACCTGTGGATATAATTTCCCATAGTGAATAATGTTTGTTGTTATCCTCTAAAATTAAAGTTCTTTGTTTTCTTTCAGAAAGGTAAGATTGCATTAAAGAAAAGCAACTTCCCCCAATCCCATAATCAATAAGTTTTAGCAACAGGAGTGAGTGATCCACACAATCAAAAGCCTTAGACAGGTCACAGAAAACACCTGCTGTAAACTGTGGCCTGAGACCTGTCCAAGGCCTCTGCAATCTCATTAACAAACTGAGTAAGAGCAGAAACTGTGCTTAAGTTTTTTCGGAAACCAAATTGTTTATTGTAAAATAAATTATTACTTTCAAAATCCGTTTTGTTCTTGGGATGTCTATAGTTGGCTTGTTTATGGATATATTTTGATCAAACTTGGCAGATTGATTTATTTTATACTAAGCTATTAATATTTTAATAAAAAACACACCTTATTAGTTTTGCTGTAGAAGCAAACCTTGGTGCTCGTTAAACATAAATGTTAATTTAATAGATTAATTTAAAATCAATCCAGGCAAATGGAATTTTATTTAGTCCGTAGGTTTGCTGCGTTACCACTTTTCCCTAATTTAGTATCCATTTTTGAATTTTAGATGGGATATTTCTTTACTTTTTAACATATAATCACCTTAATGTTGCTAAATGTTTACAAATGTGTGGACAGTTGCAGAAGACTTGTTGATCCAGGGGGAGCTCTCTGAGGTACAAGTGGACAGGAGTCCCGCAGTAATACCCAAAGTGTCTTTTCCACCTCCGGCCAGCTTCATGATCCCGGAGCTTCCCTCAGGCACCAGACTTGAGCTGGACATAACCTCTACGTGGGGCGACAGACATTACGTTGGACTCAACGGATTGGAGATGTTTACTGTGAGCGGTCGGTTGGCACGAGTAGCTCAGGTACTAAACATATGGGCTTCCTATGTGTGCACTACATACTACATGCGTTATTGACTATTGAAAGGTAGGCTTATTATTTATCTGGAAACTGGAAGATTGGTGGCCTATGTAATCTCGTTTACCAAAGTAAAAAGGCACATTTGGATGTGCAGGTGTCAAATGTAAATGTCAAATATGTAAATGTAACTGTGGATGTGATACTCCCTGGTGTGGATTAACGTCCGCACGAGTGAGTACTATGACTATCTGCAGTACTATCCTGATATTTAGACCGATTATCAATTATCAATTATTTAAGATGGGGACGCCACTATGTGCGTATTTTAACCCAAATATGAGTGAAGGATGAGTGGCGCGATCTTGTAGTCTTGTTAGTGACATGTTCCTTAGCGAACAGTCCAAATCTTTGTCTTGTTAGTATAATATCTAATGTTGAGCTTTTGTTACAACTCATTAATTAATTGATTGCTCAATGGCAATGGCATTTGATTCAAGAACCTTAGTATTTTTATTTCTTGGCATTTAACCAGCGAAATTCAAATCTGAAGGTTAATGAACTTCAATTACTGCCATTACACATGGACCTCAAATTTTAATTATTTTACAGACTGACTAGCATCTTAATAATATGCTCAAAATCCATAATAAGTTTCTGGGTAGCTGAGTGGTTATAAATCTGGAGGTCGCTGGTTGGAAACCAAGCGAGATCGTTTCCAGACCCAGATTGAGTTATTGATTATTAATGATGCCATCAAACAAAATAGTCAACGTGAGATTGTAACAAGACCAGGGTTTGGACCGTGTTCCTTTTCTAAAACGTAAAAAATTCCACTGGCGTAAAGACACACAAAATAAAATGAAAAATGGGGGTGAATTTAAGTTTATATTCCGTATATTCGTACAAATATGTAGTAAATACTTGTAATTTTATTGCCAGTGGCATTTATTATGTATTTTGAATGGGGAGGGTTATAACCCTAGTCTTGTTACTATATTTTATTCAGTTGTTGACAGAGTCATGTTAGAACAATATCTTAGGCTAACAACAACAATGACAAATTGACCCATAAATGGAAGTCCCATTACAAGGTTTTAATAGACTGAAAATAAAACAACAGCCATAAGAAAACTACTTGATTTACTACCGTAGCACAATAATATCCTACAAAACTGTAAACTATAAATCAATGAAAGTACCCTGTTTAAAAACTATCTAGGTTGAAAATATGATGTTGATACAATTGTCATATTGAGAAAGAATCGAATGTTTTAGTACCTACATAATAATTGAGATGGACATCTCTTTTATAGTATGGCCAATTGATTGTGCAATTAAATTACTTTTCCAATGTATAGAACCTCTTATCTAACAGTGACTAGCTAACAGTGTGTTGACGTATGACTTGCAGATAACAGCAGATCCGGCAGACATCAACGTGCTGCCTGAGTACGATAAAGACCCTCGTGTTGTGTCCAACCTGCTTGATCGGGTAAATAGGACGAGAGACGACATGCACTTGTGGCTCACTCCGTTCACTGAAGGCAAACACCACCGCATCACCATCACCTTCCAGCAACGTGAGACACTGGCCATGCTGCGGATCTGGGTGAGGAACACACTTTGTAACAATTAATAATGAATAAAAAATGTCTTCGTAAAGCGTTTATCTGGTACACCAGCTTTTCAGAACAACTTTTGTCATTAAATTCACTATGAATGCTCTATAAACCATCAGTCTAGAGTGTAGGAGTTTTGCCAACGGGTATCAGGTAGAAAGGGTCCCCATCCGTGAATTCCTCATACTGCGGAGTTTTGCCATCGGTTGTGGGTTGCGCGAGAGAGGGAGGGGGAGTGAGAGAGATTACACGTGGCAGCGAGGGTGGCTTCCACTAGGGGTGGACAAACCAGGCAGGATGCTGACTGTGTCCAAAGTAATGCAGTTATGCACCTCTGACTGTGAAAGGAAATGTATTGAATTTTTAACCTAACCTAACGTAACCCACTGCGACAAGCACATAACTGCCAAGCGTATTTACTTCCACCATGGCGTAGACAACCCTGACAATCGCTCTCTCTCCCTCGCTCACACTTTTTCTCCCACCACCACAGTTGGCAAATCACCGCACCAAGAGGTGGCCGAAGGCATGCCCCCCTCTACCTGACACCCGTTGGCAAAACTCCGGTTCCCATCAGTCTAAGAGATACCAACAAATGCTTTGCCCCTGTAGTAGAGGATAAAACAATCATGATGGTGTAGGTCTGTCTAACCCTTTTCTTTAAAAGATAGCTGTAATATTCAGTTGGTCTTTTTCGTTGAATGAAATTGGTTCAGTTGAATTACTGTAGCTTGACCCAAAGATGGACTTCTGCAAGGCATCAGAAGCTTGGCCAATATTATTCTCAAGTTGAAGTGAGAAAAATATTTGGATAAATATTGGAGTCTGCCTCTGTAACTTACAGCGATTATTTAATAATAAGCTTACTCTAAATGTTTAAAAGTCTGTTCGTGCATGTGTAATGTGTATTTATTTGATTATATTTGACAAATCTAATTTGGATGACACATTCTTGTATAATGATTACTTGACAATGCCTGAATAGGCTAAACATGTTTACGTAAGGTATACCTTTATAGGTTGACCTATAATACTCTAATTGAACATTTCAGATGCTACACAATGAATTTAAAAAAAAGAAAAATATTGGGTGACGCTTCGTATGCGTTGAAAAGTTTAACCTTTGGGTCGAGCTACAATGACTCAACAGAACCAATTTGATGCAACATCTTCAAAAACAATATAGCCTATCATAAACCTTTTACTCATAATTTTTCATAGGCTGTATCACTAATGTCTGACATAAGAAGAAGAAGAAGAAGAATCATTTATTCCATTGATCTTTTTACAAAGAAATAGGACATGTCATATACCGGTATTACATTACAAAATAATCATCTAAATACAATCAAGTTTCTGATACATCAAAATATTGTTAAAAATACAATTAATTAGGTATAATACAGTCCAACCTCGGTATAACGAATCTGAAGGGACCGAACTGAATATTCGTTATACCAAGGATTTCGTTAAAATGAGGTTCGTTATATAGAGGTTAGGTTTGCAGGAATTTCGCTAAGTCGAGGTTCAGAACCAGCATCAGTCTATTTAAAGGTTGGGATTGGACCTCATTAAAACAAAATTAAAGTAGCAAAGGCTACAATACTTTACAGTGTACAATGTTTACATTGTAAAGTAGAATCTCGATTATCCGGGATACTAAAGGGAAGGGAACTTAAATATTGCGCAATCATGACATTTATAGTCATTGACCTTGGTACAGGTTACAAACTTTAAGTTTAAAATCACAGCTTACTGCTTACTCCAATCCACCTAAAACCTAGCCAAAGACTGTATTGCATAGCAATAAACCACGTAAAGAACAAAACAAAACAGTAGAGAGTTTTGTAAGCTACTGCTAGTGATAGGCCGGTGGTAGGCTACAGACAGTAGTGCTTTAAATCACAATAGAGGAATGTACTGTAATTATTGTAATGTATCAAGTTATATATATGTTCAGTTCTATACTCTTTGGTGTTTGTTAGATTTATGAGGCCGTGGTCCCCACCACTACTGTAACTTAACTTACGATGAAAAAACCCTTCTATGTTGAACCATCACAAGATGCACATCTTCTTATTATTTTACCTAGCCTACCGTCTTCAAGAAGTGTCTTCAAGGTATTAATTATGTAAGGTATATAAAGGAAATATACTATGGTGTAGCCTATAAAAGAAATAGGCATACACAACAATTGGCGACGAGGATGGGATTTGTGATTTGACTTGTTACCGTTAACAAAATTTTTATTTTGCGATGCTTGTAGAGGTGCTGAAGTCGAAGGCTTACTCGATGAAGCTGCATTGGACGAGCCATAACTCCTCTGGTTGTTACGTCCCCGCTTGGCATAGTTGAGGTTACCCGTAATGCTAGAATTGTTGTGACGCAAAGTGGCGGTATTTAAATCTGCAGACTCAATAGCCAAAGCTATTTCGACAACTCTCTTGACGGTTAACTTTTCGCTATCATTTTCCGTAAAAAGCTTCCTCTTAACAATGTCACTTAAAAGTCCAGCAACAAATTGATCCCTTAAAGCTATATCACGGTCTGAAAAGTTGCAGTACTTAGCCCCCCTTTGAAGAGCAATGACAAAATCGGCAATTGCTTGCCCACTAACTTGACGTATTTGCTGAAATTTGTAACGTTCGGCAATTTCCGAAGGGTTTGGATTTAGGTGATTCCCTAATATTTTCACTAGTTCATCATATTTTTTCTCTCCTGGTTTTTTAGGTTGACACAAGTCGAACAAAACACTGAACGCTTTCCTCCCTATAACTGTGAGTAAGACACTGGACTTTTTAGCATCTGTAGTAATGTCATTTGCTAAAAAATACTGTTCAAGTCTTAGAATATATAATTCCCACTGCTCACAAGACTCGTCAAATTCAGAGATATTGCCAATTAAAGACATTGTCCTATGTTTAATGATTTTCATAGGAATGAAAATTTATGTACAAACATGCTTTGTTGAAACATGAAACTAGCCTAGGCCTAGTTGGCAAGTCTTTCAGGAACACACATGAAAAGTTCATCAACATGAAAAATAACATTTTAAATAAATAATCAGTAAAAAATGTCCCAAATTAACTTCTTGAGTAATTCAGTTCAACTTGTAAATCTCCTTAGAAACTTTCCTCTCCTTAGAAACTTTCCTGATGATTGTTTAACATGAAAGTTAAAACGTACCTGCTGAATCCTTGTAGCCTAGTGAACTCGACTTTACAATAACTAAATAAGCACTCTTTTTACTTATTTCTTCCTTAGTTTTCCTCGTCGCCAATTGTTGTGTATGCCTATTTCTTTTATAGGCTACACCATAGTATATTTCCTTTATATACCTTACATAATTAATACCTTGAAGACACTTCTTGAAGACGGTAGGCTAGGTAAAATAATAAGAAGATGTGCATCTTGTGATGGTTCAACATAGAAGGGGTTTTTCATCTTTAATAATAATACTCACTTTAAAAGGTTTACTAAGATCAGATTCCCTGTCATTAAAGTTCATGGGTAGGCCTACACCTATGTTGACCTTAGCATAAATTTGTTTGAATACATTACAATTATCATGAACTTAGTACAAATCATATTGAAAATAATAAAAATATTAGATAGGCTAAGTCGTTATTGAAGTGTATAATTATAGCCAACTTAATAAAAACACTCGTAAAAGGAATGTTAAGATATCCATGTTGCTATTCTTTTTCTTTCTAAGGTTTCTCTTCATCCAAAAATTGTACAATTCACCATATTTACTTATCACCCAATCACAGCTTACTACACATTACGGTGCCATCAGTCCTCGGTGAATGAAATCGGTTCTCAGTTAGATGTAAACATAGCGCGCATGCAACGACGACAGCAGACAGGGATGTGTAAAACGGAGCAGACGAATGTTAGCGCAAGCGTTGACGTAACCTTTCCATTTCATTTTATGAAGAAATAGATTTTTCAAAAGCAATAATGGTGGTGGGGGGTTCGTTGTATCGAGGGAGAGACGCAGACAATTCGTTAAGTAGAGGTTAAATTCGCTATGTAGAGGTTCTGACAATGATAAATTCGCTATATTGAGGTGTCTTATTTTAGCCGGGATCATGAAAAATTCGTTAAATCAAGGTCGTTGATATGGATTGTTCGTTATGTAGAGGTAAAATATACATTGTGTCTTATGGAGAGTTCTAGGGGATTTAAAAAAGTTCGTTATATCAAGGAATTCGTTATATCGAGGTTCGTTATATCAAGGTTAGACTGTAGCTTATTTTAATTAAAATTTAACATCAAAATTACACTTGATAAAGGCCTAAGAACTATAAAAAATGGTCTGATTTTTACGGATGCATTGCACGACGTCCAAGTGCCACGACGTCCAATAATATTTATTCAGTGCCACGACGTCCAAAACATAATTTTTGAGTTGTTGCACGACGTCCAATATAAATTATTTGACTGTTGCACGACGTCCAAGTGCCACGACGTCCAAAAGTACAGTAACTGCCAAAAATATAGTCTTTCTACAAGCTTTGGACGTCGTGGCACTTGGACGTCGTGAAACATGGCACTATAGGATTGTAAAAAAGTAACATTTGCACGACATCCAAAGTCGCTGCCAGTTGCACGACGTCCAAGTGCCACGACGTCCAATAAATATTTGACTGTTGCACGACGTCCAATATGCTGCAGTTGCACGACGTCCAAGTGCCACGACGTCCAATAAATATTTGACTGTTGCACAACGTCCAACATAGCTCAGCGCAGTTGCACGACGTCCAAGCTCCTACATACGGTGATTACTGCAGACCCGCAATACTAGAAGGAGTGTATATTGCGTGCCTAGTAATGAAGTCATCAAGGCTTATTAAATAAACTTAATAACGGCTGAACATATTGAATCCAAACCTTCTATGGAGTATGGTTGTTTCAACAAGCAGTGTTCTTTCAATTTGATAATGCGTGTACAATTTAAAACGAACATGATTGTACAAGATAACAA